ACTTTATAAAGGGCTTTATATAAATTACTATTCCCCTCTATAACTTAACTAAGGAGATAGATATAGAGCTCCGCTAGAAGAAGTTCTAGCTAATCACTTAGATAGAATAGTATAAGGTAGTATTCTATAAGCTAAAGGAGGCGCTAGTAAGCGCCCTAGTACTTATATAGCCTAATAGAGTAAAGCTATTCACTATTAAGACTAATACCTTAGAATAGGCTATCAGCTTTATACTTACCTAACTTAGGGAAGATAGAAAGTAATACCTAGTTATATTCGATAGTTATAAGCTTAAAGGTACCGAGCTAAACTACCTAGTATATAAAAAGGAGCTCCTAGTAATTAAGGAAGCGCTATAAACCTAGGATAAGTACTTAGAAAACGGCACTAAAACTATAGTGATTATAGATTATAAAGGTATATAATACCTAGCTACCACTAGGTTATATAGTAAGCGCTTAGTATAATAGATAGATAAGTTCTAAGTATATAACCTTGATCTAAAGTACTATAAGGGAGAAGAGATAGTAGTTCCTAATACTATTAGCCACTATCCTAACTTCCTAGGTAAGGGTCTAGGAAATATTACCTAAGGGGACCTATAATAGGGCTAACTAAACTTAATAACCACTATAGGAGGGCTTCCTAAAGTAGACTAGTATATAGTAACTATCCGATACCTAATAAGTAGTAGCCTACTAGAAGATAAGCCCCTATAGCGAGAAGTAGTATACTAGGTAGGTAAGCTTATAATATATAAATCACCCTTACTAATAGCTATAATATAGGAGGAAAATATAAAAATAGAATTTCGATATAGAGATAGTATAATAGCCCTATACCTTAAACCACCCTTCTAGAGGGACTTCCTACGCTAAATATATAAGGAATATAGACACTTAGGGTATCCTAGGCTATAAGGAGTGCTTTATACCTACGCTTAGTAGCCTAGAATCTAATAAGATACCGAGGAAACTATCTATCTCTACCTAAACTACTAAGTCTTAAGAGTAAGGAATAAGGACTTTAAGTGGGAAGCGGTATAATACCTAGTAAGTATAGGTATAAAGCTATTCGAACGATAGGGCCTAGACCTAATTAGCTTACTACCTATAACCCTAAATAGTAACCGCTAGATAGTGATAGTAATAGACTACACCACTAGATAGCCCCTTACGAAAGTACTACTAGAGGCTACTAAGGAAGCGATTACTAAGTTCCTATATAAAGATATCTTTATAGTATATAGGGCGCTAGCTAAGTTTATCACTAATAATAGAGCGAACTTACTAGCTATATTAGTATAATACTATATTTAACTTATAAATATAAAATATTATATAATAACCCCTTACTATCTACGTACTAATAGTAAAGTGGAAAACCTTAATAGCTTACTAGGTAAGATACTCACTAAGTATTATATAGGTAAGCCTACCTAAGTGTGGGACTTATATCTCGCGTAAGCACTTTTTGCGATAAGAGTATAGGAGTATATAACTTCTAGTAGGAGCCCCTTCTACTTAGTATATAGGATATACCTAAGGCTCCTAGGAGATATAGAACTAATCTTACTAGGATAGGATATAGTAAGCTTAGATAAGCGGATCCTTACTATAAACTATACCTAGGTAGAAGTAAATAAGGCACTACTATATAAAGTAATATATATATAGAAAATCTAAGATAAGAAGGTAACTACTTTATCCCTAAAGCCTAGTAAGTAGGTACTTATATAAAATAAAGCGAAGTAGAAGTTCGAAAGTAGCTAGTTTAGGCTATATAAGATCCTAAAAGTATACCCCCTTAGGATATATATACTTATAGAACCTAGTGGTAGAGTCTTATAGAACTTAGTGAATAGGTAAAGGCTAGTAGATATATTCGTAGAAAACCTAAACTAGCTATAGACTTTATCTAGCGGTAAGTATTACTTATATAGAAGCGGACTTAATATCTACTACCTACTTAATAGTAGAGAAGTAGTAGACACTAACTTAGAAACACTACCTAGTTACTAGGAACTAGCGATAATTTCCTAGGTAGAATAGGATATAATAGAGCGTTTAGGGGTATACTTATACTTAGTAGGGAGGGAGTAAGTAATATACTATATTATAATAAGAGGCTAATAAGGTTATCCTAAACTAAAGAAAGGTACTAAATACCCCCTAGAGAAACTAGATAATATAGAATAAGTATAGAGATCCTAGTAAGAACCTAGGGTACTATAATAAGTAGAACCAGAGGATTAAGCCTAATCTAATATACTAATTAACGATTAGAAAGATAAAATACCTATTCTATAAGGAGTAGAAGAGATCTAGGAAAGCGATCTAAGTAGAATACCCCCTAGTAAAGGGTAGAAGAAATCTTTAAAGATAATTTAGATAAAATACCTACCTAATAAGTAGTAGAAGAAGCCTAAGGAATAGACTTAGATAGCGATAAAGCTCCTAGAGAGGTTAGCTAAGGGGATAAGTATATAGAGGACACTCTATAAGTAGTATAATAATTATCCCTATACCTCTTCTATAAGCTAAGATACTATATAGTAGACCTATAAAAGGGTCGGAATACCACTACCTATAAGGGATAGGTAGGTAAAGACTATAGAATATAATAAGGGCTCTCTATAAAGACTATAAGGAAGTTATTATTAGAACTAGAAAGGTCTTATATAAAGTAGTATCTATAGGCACTAAAAAGGAAGCGGTACTACTAAATAAATAGAGAAAATAATATATAACTAAGCTAAGCGTTAGGTAAAAGCTTATCCTAAAGGGGATCTATACCTTCCCTAGAAACCGCTAAAGCGCTTACTTCCTAAAGATAGAGAGACTTAAGGCCTCCTAAGTCTTAGCGGATCTATTAAGTATTTAACTTAACTTACACTAATAAATAGTATAGCTAACCTTCCTCTATAAGCTAGATATTAGGGTTAGCCTTAAATAACTCCTAGGATAAAACGCTTAAATATATACTACCTACCTAGGGATCTACTTCCTTAGTAGCTAGGGGCTAAGTAGTAGGAATAGTAAGGTAGGGAATAGTAGAATAATAGGCGGCGGTAGGATAGGATATAAGCTAGGTACCTAGATAGATTAGTGAGTGGCGGCTAAAATAGCTAGTAAGCTAGGTAGAGGAATAAGAAGAGGAAGCATTATAGGAAGTAGGAGTAGAAGTTACTATATAAGCGGTAATAGATAAGGTAGGAGAAGTAGTAGTAGGATAGCGCCGCTTATAAGAATCCTAGGGGGTCTCGATAGGGGTAGGGGCTAGCTAGAAGGGGTAAACCTAGGAATAAATATACTACTAGAAGCTAGTAAGGGCCTAAGTGGGATATAAATCCTAGAATAAACACTTATATAAGCCGCTAGCGAAATAGTAGTATATATAGGAACCTAAGGAGACAATAGCCCCCTTACTAGCGGTGTCTAAGAAGGAGGTAACCTAATAGGAAGTAAATACACTAGCTCCCTTAGTATAGTAAGTGCACTCCCTACTAGGCGGAGTAGGTATACCTAAGTACTACCTAATAGCCGTAACTTAGTGGTTATTAGACTTAATAGCCTATAGTTAGTATACCCCCTCCTCTATATACTAGTTAATCTCTCCGCTAATATCCTAGAAAACTACCTAGAGCTTAGCGGCTACCCTAAGTAACTCGCCGCGTAGGGAAAGCTAGAAGTCGGTACTAAGGCTATTAGGAAGGGCGTTTATTACCCCACTATTAACGTTTAAGAAGGAGGGCTCTGACTCCCTATCTACTAGGGCCTCCTTAACCTCTATACCTAAGAAGGGATAGTTAGCCAAGTCGAACACTAAGAAGGAGCTACTAAGAACTTACCTAGCGGCGTAGTACCCTCTATCTCCTTATCACTAGGCACTATAGGGTCCTTAGGACTAGCGGTAGTAGTAGATATAGGCGAATTTATAGTAGGAAAAGATATAGTACTAAAAGTAAGCACTTAGTATTAGCAACTATATCTTATAAGTAAAGGAATATTACTTACCTAGTTAAAATACGTAAGGGGGAAAAGAGAGGTTAAAGTGAGAGAAGAAAGAGAGAGAGAGAAAGTGAGAAAGGGTAGAGTTAGCGAGTAAAAATACCGATAGTAACGAAGAGCTTTTACCTAGCCTATTTCTACTTAGGAGGACAAAGAGAGGTCGACTTACTATATATAAAGAACTCGACCCTACGAGGCCTACTACTTAGTATAGCCGGGGTATAAAAGTAAGGCTCTTATCCACCCTAACCCTCTATAAGGCCTAATTAGGATACCTAAATGGCTTTATAAGAAAAGGCTCGCCGAGGGCGGCGAGCTATAGTAAGTGGGGGGGGATATAATCCTAAGCGGTTTGTAGGGTTTGTATACCGCTTAGTGCCTAAGGCTTAGGCTTGGCGGACTACCTAAGGCAGAGACGAAGCAGTCTGCCAAGCCAGAACCACCGGCACTTCGGCCACCGAAGATAGGGCTTGGTGGCCCCATATAGTTGGTTTATACTGGAGAAGTAAGCGAGGAGCGGCTTATATAATTACTTAGCATATATCCTACGGCTAGTACTATCCAATAGAAACCATGCGATCCTTACAGAATCTCAAGGGTCGATGGACGTTGTCACGTGGTCGATGGAAGATGGCGGAGCCGCTGAGCGCCAAGGCCTTTAACCTTAACCAAAGTGGAGACATGGTCTGTGCATACGCGTATTCCTCCCATTTTCCTAATTTCACTACACAAACCCGGGAGTCATTCAAGACATTCCAAGTGGATTCGCCATATAATATATGTGGGCCTAGATATTAGGCTCGACAGAGACTATCTAGGCTGCAAGATTTGTCCCCACTGGCCGTGAGAGTCTTGAATATACTACTAGCTCATCGGAACCGAGACTTCCGGCCCTAGCAGTATCTTCTCCTATGCCCCAGCGTGGCAAAAATGGTCCGGAGAACGCATAAAAAGTCTAGAAATGGCTGCATTGAATGCAAGCGCCGTCACATGAAGGTTTGTCACTCAATGACCACCTATGTGTAGCCGCTGACCCTGCTCAGTGTGACGAGCAACGACCCATATGTTCCAACTGTATTAGCTCCCAGCGACATTGTGAGTTTCTAGAGCCTGTGTACTTTGCAAAGGCATCTAGCAGTATTGGTAGCGATACCGCCGCCACATCACCCGCCGTTGGCTCGCCGGCGGTGACCTCTTCGCCCGCACAAGAACCAAGCAATAATCCTGAAGATGGCCCCGTTAACATGCTCCATGTTGAGCTGGCTCACAACCTTTCTTCGGAAGCTATGGATACATTAAATCACCAGAGACACATGTCTGGAATCTCATTTCAGGAGATCTGGCGGCATGGTCTTGATGCGCCCTATCTCGTGAACGAGCTTCTGTCTCTGAGCGCTCTGCATCTTAGCATTACCAGAATAGACCAGCGACCTTTCTACCGACACCATTCTACTCAACTACAGAGCTACGCACTGGGATCTTTCAACAAACTATCATCACAAATCAATGACGAAAATTATGTCTCAATCTTTCTCTTCGCCGGTATTCTTGGGCTTCACATGCTCTGCGAAACCCTAGTGTATCGAGACAATGATTTTGAAAGCTTTCTTGATCAGTTCGTTCAGTACACCGTACTGCATCATGGGGTACGCACTGTCGCAGGCGGTGGGAGATGGCAGCTTTTGCAGCAAACAGCATTAAAGCCTCTCTTGGAACTCGGAGAAAGGATCCCTTCGGCAGATGAGAGTTTGGGTCCTGTCTGCCAGGTGCTTTTGGATCGGATCAGAGGTCTTCGTCACGACGAGACTACTACAAGGACATACCAACAGGCGATCCAGGCCTTGCAATCGGTCATTACGGTGATTGACAGTCAGAGTCCAGGGAACAACAGCCTAGATGTTCTCATTGCGTGGCCGGTGCTTGTCTCTCGTGAATACATTGATCTGGTTGCGCAAAGAAAGGGTGAGGCTTTGGTCATCTTGGCCCATTTTGGTGCCCTGGTCGATACCCACAAACATTCGTGGGTATTCTGTGATGGTGGTGAGTATCTTGTTGATTCAATCAGTCAGTATCTTGGGTCTCAGTGGGAAGAATGGCTCCAATGGCCACGACAATCCCTGGCTGCGACAAACTCTGCACATTAGCAATGGGGTAGGATCAATATTGTTAACATAGAATACATAATTACGTTTGGCGGGTCTCTATCTTCTGGATGTGCTCCATCTGGAATGGGAGTCTTGCTTCAAGTAGAACTTCAGTATGCGGATATGTCTCTCGTAGATTGTAGCCATTGTTGACGCGAGGAAACGAACTTGGATGACCTAGAAAACCCAAGAACCGGTAAATGACAGCTGCCACCATGGGAATACTCAAACTATTCAATTTAAAAGAGAATCTCATAGGAAAATCACATATCCTCACCCTAGAATCCCTGCTGCCGATGCCATTTCTCTTGCCAACCCTTGAACCATGGACTATCATCTAGGGTAGATACTTCCCACTCTTTCGGAACTAACCCATTCTCCTTCTGCTCTTCTGCCCATTCCTTCAACTTGGGAAGCACAACATGCTGCACATGCCAAACACTCTTGTAATCCATGAGATTCTTCTTTCCCTCTGTCAAAACCTTCATCAATAGCTCCGGTACCCCCGGCTCATCACGGAATTCCGCAATTGGAGTAAAAAGTGCCTTGAAATTGAAGACGACCGCGCCGGACAATGGCAAGCGCCTAAGAGTCTGCCAGTCCACGCGCAGATGGCATTGATCAAGGGTCAAATCAGCCTGCTGAGATAGCCGGTGTAGTTCGTGAGGGTCCCCGGGCGGCATGTATAATGGCTGCCCAATTTCCAGGCCCCATGACCCTCGTTGGATTGGCTTTTCAGTCGGCATCTTAGTGAAATATCTGAACCGAAATCTCGCGTCAGCACTTCAACATCCAATCTTCTTGAGGAGAACAATTCAACATACCGATCCATGGAGAACTGCATCTTATCCTTATAATCGGGAATCGACTCGTGGATCTCATGCAGCTGCTTTCCAATCTTCGATGCGACATTCCACCCCAGAGCTGAACAGATCACCGCTGCACGCAGAAAATAGAATCCGGTTTTGTCATCACGAAGCATGATTGCGAAGTCTTCTGGTACGTTATCCAGAAGGATCTCAAGAGGCGGCTTGCTTGTAATGTCCTGCTCGATACCAAGGATCTTGTTCTGTAGCACGCGCTTGTCAACCAGTGTGAAGTACTGTGGGTATCGGGCGCAGATAAATTGCAAGACCATCTCCATCAACTCCTTGCATGCAAGCTCGGAGCCTGGCATGACATCAAGGACTTGCTTGCCGTTCTTGGCGTAGAGTTCTTTACGCTGGACGATGCGGCTCTTGTATGTACTCTCGAGCTCGATCCACCAGTCTGTTTCGAGTTTGCTTAGAGCTGTTGTTGAACAGCGCAAGAGATTAGTTTCACGCCATACTCATTCTGCACTCTATGAGACATACACATGGTCTGGTGATACGCCCACCGGAATGGACGATATGGCCGGGGCAATGCCTTCTCAATATTGAATTCTGGATATGGGGTGGGTAGTGGCACTCCACTTAGAGTCGAATAGTCTGGGAAGTCCCCAAGACATTTGACTTCTGCTACTGATAGTCCCATCGGTGTATACTTGTCGTCCGGGCTGGTGGTATAGTCGGCGCTCATGGGTAGTATATTCCGACGCACTTCATCTTCGTGCACATCGCGGTCGGGCGCAGCATCACAACTAAGATCAGCAAGAGTATGCTTGCGTTGTGGTGGGAGCACATTTTCATAGCTGGATGGGGAAGTCGGTTTTGTTGCGGCTTTCTTCTCCGGAGAGAAAGATCGCGGTGGTGTTCGGGCAATTGAGTGTTTTCGGCCACGCAATGTAACTCTGGCTAAGAGAGACCTGCCAAACGCCCGATTAATGACAGCATACACTCCAGTAGCAGCTAGTAGGATCAATCCAACTCGCCAGAGACTATCCGGGGCTGACAGCAAGTCCATCGCGGCTCAACCCATACGCTTTAGGGCAAGCCAGAGATGGATAGTAATTCAATATAGGGGACTTATATCAGCGCAGTTGCAAGGAATAGGCTTCACAGAAGTAGGTACCAATTCATGGACGGACGGGGGCCAAAGTGAATAAGTACTCTCCGGGCCAACTGTGGGAAAAACATGTCCAGATCTTGGTTAAAGAGGTCAGGAGCGGGGGTGAAATTAACATCCATTCAAGATGAAAAGATGTACGCATCAAATAGCTGCTTTGGTCCCCTGGCTCGATTGTATTTGCCATGTTGGGAGAGGAAATGCCGGTGGTCTATGCTGTTTCTGATGTGTCGACGTCACTAGCGGTCTATTGAACGTGTATGCTTATCATGTCACTCTTTCCAGATATCCTTATCGTATCCATATGTCTTACCTCTGCGTCTATACAAACAAGGCAAGGAGGTACAAGGTGCATGTAGATCAATCAAGTAGGTTTACGACGCCTACTAGTAAAAACAAGAGACGTGTGATTTGTCATTGTTCGGATGTGATGGTTTAGCTGTCAACTCACTCCCTACGTTTTTCAATATCGATAGAACCCAAGAAACAATCTCTTGAATGAATTGATTCAAACAAACAAGAAGAGATAAGGACTGGGAACATGTATACCGAAGAGGAAGCCGTCGCGTTACCCGAAAGGGTAAAAATGTCCCGAGGCTTGGCGGCACATGACTGTTTGATTATGGGGGAAGTACCTGTGGACAGTGCACAGCAGCCACTTGAACAAGACTCACTATAACCCGACGTGTTAGTCTTGTCTTTTATGGTAGCCTCTACCCCTTCTCTGAAGTTATGTTTTGAACGCTAACAATCATACTGGACTTATCAGTCTTCTAGCTCAACAGGACTGACTCGCTCATCCAGTAAATCCAAGTCCTCCAGTTGTGATCGTGGTGGCAGCTTCCAGAGACTGGTACCACAGACACGGTCTTTGGTGAGAAGATCATCGACAAACTGATCCATATATGTAAGCGTGAAAGAGTCGCGCACACGCCGCTTCAGTTTCCGGTAATCGAGAAGTAATGGTTCCAGGGTTTTGTAGACATCGACCGGTTCGAAGGTCAATCGCACATAGAAAGCCGCAAGGGCGCGCAGATATTTGAAGTCGCCTCGATCTTTGACAAGCGCATCATCTGGATTTTCTGCCTCATCGCCACTGCCGGGGTCGGTGAAGTTGAGTAGTTCGAGGATGACGTCTCGGTCAGGGCCGAGCTGGAGGAGCTTGAACGCGAGGCAAAGGAAGGGTGTGGGTTTCTCGGAGACACCATATGTTCCACCAATGCAGGTCAATTCGACTGCACGATCACATAAAGTCGCCGCATTCAAACCGAAACACTGTTCCTTCCAGTAGTATGAATCGGTGATGCGGTCGCGCACAGCTTTCTCAAAGAGTGTGGCTGGGTTGACGCCTCGGACCAGGGGGCCCTTGTAGCCACGGTTATCAAGGAACGTGCTGGCATCGGCACGATGGGCTGCCATTTTGGAGGTGAGGGCAGATGCGGAGGAGCCACGGCATCGAAGACAACTGAAAAAGGACTACGGCAGTTTTTTTGAGACCGTCGCGATAATACGGATTTGGGGGATACCGCCTTTGTCACCGCCTTTGCTCCGGGGTTTAGCTCTGTTCGTACAAAAATGGGTTGTAGATGAGGTCTGTCATCTCACCATATATCACTCTTTCTTTTTTTACATTCCAATTACTAGCAGGAATCTACATACTCGGGTATATTCATCGAGTTTCGCGATGAACAATCTTCAGCTAAAAATAACCGGCTTGGCCAACAAGCTGGAAGTAACACCGCCAAGACCGAGCTTATCGATAGTCGCGTGGACAACGTAAACAACCTGATGTCATGAAACAAAGCTAACAATGAGACCTGTTTGAAGATTAATAGACCAGGGCTATTATATCTTGAACATCCAGGGGGCCATGCATGTCTGAAATTTCAATTTTGTCTAACATATCCTCTCTATTCAACCCATGCAGCCTCCGTTGCGGCCATGGTTCTTTTAACATCCTCCACGGTTTCGGCCATTGTGTCGATGGGAGTAGTCTGCATATTTACCATCTTGTTATTTTTCTCTGGATATGTTTTACAGCAACAATCTGTCAAGAATATTCAGCATGCCTTGAAACCCCAAGAAGCTGCCCAAATGGCCAGACACAGATCGGGCCCCGCATTTCAGAAGCCACTAAAACGAGATCTGTCAGACTCGGATTATGGAGATGATCAAGATACAACAATTGGAACTCAACCCAACTACGGCGCAGCAAAGAACTTTGCCTATCTCCAAATGCTATCCGAACCAGATCCATCAGATATCTGCTCGGCAATCCTCTTCTTCAAGAAACTCTCCACAAATGGGACAGTCGTCCAAGACCGCCTCTTCGTGTACCCAGAGCAATGGGATCGAATGTCAGCTAAAACACTGGGCCCTTCTGCTACAAAAGCGTTATCAATATTACGCGCCGCTAGCGCAAAATATAATATCTGGCTCCTTCCAATCGACATGTCAGCCGCCACAGCTGCAGGCTATACAACAACAAACAGCAAGCTCCTCCACCTGGGTCAGATTCAATTCATGCAGTACGACAGCGTCTTATATGTTCAAACCCCCGGTCTACTATTAGACACAGGCAAACTAGACAATATGCTCTTGGATCGGCCCCTGCCCCTCCGCCACGACAAAAATCGCCCTGAGTCCTATAACAACGAGGCATGGATCCCTATGCCGCTTCGTGCAAATCGTGAAGCAAACCCCCCGCCTGTCTACTTAATCACTGTCAATAACATCGAAAATGGGAATGTTGAGGCACGGACTCATGTTCCCAATGTTGCATTGCCTGGTTTTGGTGGTCTCGTGGTTGGACCTCAGGGAGCTGCTAGCGCGGCGAAATTGGCAGATGCCGAGCAACCTGGCTATGTCTATTTTGACAACGATCGTGATGGACATGTTAAATGGGACAACAATCCCTACTTTGGGACCTGGCGATCTCAGCAAGCTGAAGTTTGCGAGGGATTGAACTTTGATGAAGTCATTCATGACGAGCAATGATCCTGCAGTTTTTTGTTTCTTTGATTTTGTCTTTTTGGTTACGTGACATGCCCCTGTACATGTTGTAAATATGGATGAGAGATGGCGTTGGTGTTTGTGACCTGTATCTACATAGGATATATCTACATGGGACTTGATTTCAGGGTTTTGGCTTATGGCTACATTAATTTGCTGTCAGTTTTGAAGTAACTGTTTCGAGCACTCGCGCATTTGGATTTCAAGTCGTTACATTCGTGAATTATGTGACACTATGGTTCATTATGCTTTTGCATGTCCATCATTCATACATTTCCCTACTGCGGCACGCCGATCTCATAGCCCAAAAGGACTTCAGTGGTATTTCCTTCCCACCCTCGGTTACCGCTGGTGGAGATCATATATCGACACGCATTGTCGATATACAGCTGAGAGATAGTTCCAGTACGATGACCGGGAATAATCAGGAACGGGACTGGCGACTGGCGAGAAGACTGCTCGCCTTGCTCATTTTGCAGATCATACAGACGGAGAATATCGTGAGAGGCACTATATAAGAAAGGTTAGAAAAATAGTTCTGCGTTGCTGGGTAGTCCTTTACTCACCAGACAAGATGACGTCCATTCGGCATAGCCTTGAGTGCTGTCACCGGCCCACTGCCTTGTGGGAATTTGAATGTCCGTTCGGCATTTTTCAACCCCTTGTGGAGACTGTATTCTTCGACAGTGCCATTTCGACGTCCGGCATAGATGTAATTTCCATCAGGGGACCAACAAGCGTTCATACACCATGGAGGAGAATTATATGGGGTGATGCGAGCGACAGGATCAGGCTGTCGCCGGTCCCAAACTTTGATTGTTCCATCGATCGAGGCAGCCAGGAACGTGTTATCAGTTGTCAGACCTTGCTGTTGTTGGGTATTTTCTGAGAATTCCGGGGCTGGTGGAGGTGTCTCAAGATCCTCCGCTTTGGGGATTCCATTGACAAGTGGCTGGACTGGGCCAGTCGGGATGCCTGCTTCGTCTATTTCCATTTTATGAGCCGGCGCATCTGTATGGGTATTTGTTTTCGGCGACAGTGCATCGTGGCTTTCGGTATGCCCATCTGGCTGGGCAGGGATTTCATCGTCAAGTTCTCCTGGTGCATCGGCATCAGGCATAGCACCATTAGCTACAGCTTGGCCAAACTCATCATCCTCATCTACTGCAAATACTCCACCCGATGGCTCACCACCATCTGCAGCTCCGCCATCTGCGTCACCGAACAACGAGTCCGTTCCGCCAAAAAGTGAGTCGGCCGGGGAGCCCGCCTGCGGGTTCTCGACCGGGCCCGTGTCTTCATTGTCGTGGGTGGTATCCATGAAGTTGAAGCTGTCTGTATTAGGGGCAGCATAGTTTGATGAATACGTGCCATTTGTCTGCCGCGGTTCAATTGTGTCCCTGGGGACCGAAAGGCTGGATTCTGGCCGAATCTGCAAAGCAGATATCTGTCCGCCGCTGCCACCAAAAGCTCGTCTAGCTTGGCCGGTATTCAAATCCCAGTCGAAGACACGTTTATCCCAACCCCCGGAGAGCAATGATTCTTCGTCTGATGTGAGATTCAGCGTTGACACTGCCGAGGTATGTTGTCGAAGAAGCGCGATTTCCTTGCCCTCCTCGTGGCGCAAAGTTTGCAGACGAATCACCCCGGATTCTAACCCGGAAAGTAGCCACAATCCTTCGCTATGGCTGGCCAAAGAGTACACCGGCGACAAGTGACTACCATCCATGTTCTCCCAGTATGTCATCAGCACTCCAGCCTTGACCACACTATCCACGAACGGATGCCTTTGCGCCACAGTCAGCATGAGCTTGCTATTTATAGAGTCCGCCCAGTTGAATTTTCGCACGAATCCGTCCGATCCACCGGTAAAAACCCAACGCATATCCGCTGTCGCTGTAATTGCATTGATCGATGTGGCATGCGGTGCAGCGGTGGTTGGAACTACATCGTACGTTCGGGCTGTGAGGCATTCAGGGCGCACACTTGGGTGGTAAATGGAGAAGGGTTCAAATCCGGCATTGTCGCCGTTGCCATTCGTGTCTTGTTGTATACCAGGGCCCTCCGACGCCTGGCTCGCATTCGAGGGGCTATCGGGGTCTTGATCACCATCCCCGTCTTGATCATTTTCATTGTCGCCCTCGCCATCATCGACGTCGCGCATTGTATCGTCCATATCGTTGTCGTTCTCGTTATCGGAGCTCCCGTCCTGGGAGCCTAGGGGGTGATTAGCAAGGTTGGGTGAAGGGACCGCAAACCATTGGCCCGGGCCATTGAACAAAGAATTGTCATACCTCCCATGTCACGGTCCTCCTCTTCCTCCGGTGAACCCATGATTACTGCACGATCTTGTGGCAGTCCGAGTTGTGGGGTAGCTGTCGTTTGCGCGTAGTAATTGAACGAGGGGATTGGGAGACTTTGAACAAAGGGCTCCGGCGCAAACGAAGATAAGGCAAAGGACGGTGATACCGGAAGTCTGCTCCAGCTCCGTAGTACAAGACAGGAGAAAGTCGCGCGTTACGCCGCGGCTTAAAATGAACCGATAGGGATCCGATGCTTGGCGGACCAATGAACATCAAGGACTCTTGAGCTGTATACTAGGACAACATACAATTTAATATCAAATCAACTGCGTCCATTCCAGTAGATCCTCTTATCCTGAGCACCGTATTCACGGCCCAAAAATTGTCGAAAATAGCTGGGATGCATGTTTAAATGTCCCTTAAGCAAAACCTTAGTCATCACACTGTCACGTGCGCGCATCATTCTGATCACCTCCCTTCTCCCTGTCCCTCCTGCATCTTGTATTGAAAATTATGATTCATGGCTTGCTGCGAGAAACAGAAGTCAATCAGGGCCACACTGCCATGTAGGGATTCTATATCAGAAGTCACAGGAAATTCGTCTGGAGAAGTTATGGTTTTCCCGCGTTTGTATGCAGTCTACTTATAAGAATGGAAAAGGAATCTTGAAGATATCTAAGAAGAATATCTGAAAAGAGCGTTGAGAAGACCCGTCAAACACCATAAAGCCGCCTAACCGGCCGTTAACTCTTCTAAATGCAAGAGTTAGTCCTGAGTGAACCTGGTGGCCTAGTTGGTATCGTCGACAATGGGCCATACCTGCTCTAGTCTACTTTACTAGGCCTAATCAGGTTAAAGGTTTTGGGAAGTTAGTCAAATTCAATACTGCCTTGATTTCGGCCAAGATATATTTGATATGCTGTCCCCAAAGCTGTACTTCATGACGTTCCAAAAATAAGTCAGGCTGATAAGGATTCATCTACCATAGCAACTGGGCAGTACTACTATATTTGCTAGGGCGCCCCAAGGTGCAATTGTGCCAAACCGTGCGCCAATAACTCTCAGTGGACTATAAATTGCCCTACAATGATCCACCCACCCTTGAAAACCTTCTTTACTCTCGACTCTTGATCTTGAAATAGCCTTCCGCAGAATTGGAAAGCAAAATGAGCGCCCAAAATGCAGCTCTTGGAACAATGGAAGTTCTCGAAAACATACTTCTTCACCTTGATCTCAAGTATGTCTTGACATCCGCCCAACGTGTGTGCCGCCAATGGCAAGATTTGATTTCCACATCGCCTTCTCTTCAGAAACATCTCTTTTTCGAACCTGACTGGGATCGAGAGGATAGACAACGCAATCCTCTGTTGGCCGAATTTTTCCCTGCATGGTTTCCCGATTTCCCTACGTCCGAGGAACCGCGTAAAGCTCATGAGATCGACATTGGCCCCGATAGCAAAAAGTCCAGCTGGAATCGTATGCTGGTTCAGCAACCCCCTATTCGTGATATAATTTTCTTCACGGTGAGGAGCGGTCGCAGCGGCACATGGCTCGGAGGCCCATACACCAAAACTGAGGAGGACTCCCGGACACACTGGTTCAGCGTAACAGATCCGCTCCGGATGGACGAGTTTATCGACAAAGTTCCCAATGTAGGGGGGGATCTAGGGTTTAGCTTACGCGAAGTAATGGTCTTGTGGGACAATGAAGGTCATCAAATCCCATCTGGGTTTCACGGCTATTCATTCAACAACAAGGAGAGACGATTCCTGCAGGGGTCTCTGGAAGAATGTGGAATGATCTTGTTGGAATACAGATTCGTGCGATGTGGAAAGGGCGTACATGACGGTGGAAACCGGCGGAGAAAATACGGTACTCCTTTTTACGAGCCCTTGCTTGAAGATGCAGAGGACGGAGAGGATGGAGAGGATGGAGAGGATGGAGAGGATGGAGAGGATGGAGAGGATGGAGAGGATGATGCTAACGATACTCAGGGCATTCTCCTTCAATCTGATCAAAGACCCCGTAGCTAGGATTGAACCGCTCCTTTTGAGACTTTTGGCAGGCCTTTACTTGAGGGACCGAGGGGGCTCAGGGTCCTGATCATCGGGTATCTCACGGCTCAAAGTTAAGCCCGTGAGACTGACTTTAACGCAAGTGAATTGTTCCTAAGTTTTCTATGGGCTAGCCATAGCGCTTATGCAGCTTGTTTGCTTTCATCCCTGAGAGACCATGGGAGCCCTCGTATGGGGTCAACCGAAAGCCTATAGCACAGAGACGAAATGTCCCTCTAACTGATAGTGCGGTATTATTTGAACTTTTCTTATTCTTGTGTTGTGAGTTTCTTTCCAGATAGAATGTGACGAGCACTTTGTCAGTTCCATGTAGTATAACGAAATAAAATGACAGACTACCTTCAGCTGTGAAGGACGCGGTGCTGGAATACCCTGTTGTTAGATTAGAGATTGCATAGCTGACATTTCTTAGGACGATCTCTAAGAAGTATGAAAATTACTAATATGGTTTCCAAATCATAAGCGCTCGTTATTATTATGCTCTTCTCCCCCAGAGACCATCAGTAACGTAAAACAGTGTCTGTCTCCTATACAATACTAAAATCAAAAGTGAAATCAAATGGCTCAGCATGGCACTTGTACGGCTCGAACGCAGTAGGCCCGACAGTGGCAGAGCCAAGACCGTTGTTCGCATAATCCAAATGCAAAACGGTCATATCGAGCGGCTTCAGGTCATGTGGATGTGTGGCAACGTCCAAATCCTGAGGCATGTAACGACGGGCAGTGAAGCTGAAGGCCGACTTCTCGCCTTGACCATCGCTGCGGCGGGCATCCAGCGTTACGCCCTTCTCTTTGTTGCCGATTTGCACCCAGCGCAGATCTTCGCGGTTACCATTCTCCTGTGGGTAATCATAGTATGTGAACAGATCATCCACGGAGGACTGATACTCGCCCATGCGACACGCCTGCTTGGAGTCGGGATAGCTCTCTCCAGGACCGCGGCCGAACCAGGAGACCTCGTTGAAGGCCTGCGGAAGGACGGACATGAGACCGATGCGCGGCAACACGGTGGGTGTATTATCGCCAGAGAACTCCCCCTTGACCTGGAGGCGGAGTGGCGCCTTGTCATCAGCCGAGATGGTGTAAACTAGATCCGCCTGCGCGCCCCAATCCCAGACCTTGGGCGCTACCCAAACCTTGTAGTGCACCTTGACATCTCCGTTGTTGGTTTGCTGCCATGTCACGTCACGGACCTGCGTGTGTACTAGATCGACATATGCTGCATCCCACTTGGGCCCGTCACCTGCGTTGGCCTTGTCGTTCTGCGTCTGGGCGCGGTAGAGAGACAGTTCGGGTCCACGCTGGAAGATTTCAGTTCCGTCGACGTTCCATGTGACATTTCCACGTAGGAGATCGAAGCCAAATGTCGAGGTGCCGCTCTGGACCTCGAGACGGGTTTTTTTTGGTTGAGAGAGTTTTATGCCACCATCGACCTTACGAGCAACAGCATTGGAGCGGCGTTGCGAAGGGGACACAGAAGGTCCGGCAAGGTAGGCTTGATCCCAGGCAACAACATGGCCCTTCTTGGCCCAGACCTTGTCTTCATCAAGCAGGAACTCGACAATGATCCATGATTCTTTAGGCAAGTCTGCTTTCTTCAATGGAAGGTCCACCTTGCGGCTTTCGCCTGCTGGAATGGTCGGGAGCTTCAGTTCTTGCGACTCGGTTGTCTTCTTGCCATCCTGCACGAGATGCCACTTGGGGCGCAGTCCTGATAGGTCGATGAAGTCGTAGTGATTTGTGATAACCAGTTGGGTGGAATCCGCGGTCAAATTCATCGTAACGGGTTGGATGTTCTTGGCATACTCACCCATTGATGGCATGGGAGTGTGGTCGGAGAGAACCAGGCCGTCCATGATAAAGTCACCATCGTTGGGCGTGTCGCCGAAGTCCCCGCCGTAAGCATAGTAAGACGCGTTGTCTTCCTTCTTCAGGATGCCGTGGTTATTGAATTCCCACACGAAACCTCCCTGGACAAGGGGCTCGGTTCTGAAGAGTTCGATGTAATCTTTGAGGCCTCCAGGGCCGTTACCCATTGCACTACCCACGTTAGAATGATGATAATAAGCGGGGCAGAGATGCCCTAAGCTCGCGGGAGAGCTGAGATAGTACTTACTGCGCAAACTCGCACAAGATGAACGGCTTGTCAGTGTTGTTGCCAATGAGCTCCCGGATTTCGTCCAGAGATTTGTACATGCGGCTGTACATATCGGCGGTTTCAGCATCATAATCCTGTTCGTAGTGAATAATTCGGCTGGAATCTCTCTGCCGGATCCATTTGGCCATGGCAGCGTGGTTTGTGCCGTAGCCGCACTCGTTTCCAAGCGACCAGATGATAATACCAACATGGTTCTTGTAGCGCTCTACCAACTGGATTGCCCTGTCCAAGTAAGCCTCCTCCCAGTCTGGGTTACTAGAAACCTGCAGGCCGTCGCCGGTGATTTGGAAACCATGACATTCAAGATCGGCTTCGGCAATGATGTAGAAACCAAGCTCATCGGCGACGTCAAAGAAGGAAGGGTGGTGCGGGTAGTGAGATGTTCGAATCGCGTTGATATTGGATCGCTTCATGAAGATCAAGTCCCGTCGCATGTCCTCGTAGGCAACTGTCCGTCCGGTGAGATGATGGTGCTCATGACGGTTGACACCGTACAAGGTGATAGCCTTTCCATTGACATGGAAGTTGGAGCCGCTGATTTCAACGCGACGGAAGCCGGTTTTCTGGCTGATGGTTCGTCCCCCAAATGTCAAAAGGAGGGTGTAAAGATTAGGACTCTCGGCAGACCACAGTTCGAACTCATCCCCACTGATCTTTTTAACATATTTCTCCGATGAAGAGACAGTGGCCTCGTCGACAACCTTTCCACTGGGCGATAGAAGCTTGACTTTCACATCCCCTTTCTCGCCCTGAATGGTAAAGTTTGCTGTCAATGTACCGCTCTTGAACGAGTCATCAACCTCAGGAAACACATCGAAATCGACAATAGACGATTTCGAGAAAGGAATCAGATACACGTCTCTAAAGATACCTGATAGCCACCACATGTCTTGATCCTCGATGTATGATGCATCAGACCATTGATAGACACGAGTTGCAAGGGTGTTCTTCTTCCCAGACGTGGAAAGATAATCAGTGATATCGAATTCGCTGGGATTGCGGCTGCCCTGGCTGTATCCAACCTCCTGACCATTAACCCAGACATGGAAAGCACTGTCCACACCTTCATAGCGTAGTCGGATCTGCTCACCACTCCAGTCCTCAGGCACGGTAAACTCGCGCCAATAGGACCCAGTGGGATTTACGTAGGAGACATTGGGTGGAGTGACGGGGAACGGGTACTCGATATTTGTGTAGTGAGGATGACCGTAGCCGTTGAGCTGCCAGTGACTAGGTACTTCCAACTCATCCCATGAGGAGACATCGGCAGTCGCCCAGTTGGGTGCCTCAAATGGAGATTGGTCATAGTGGAATTTCCAGGTACCGTTGAGACTATGGTATTCGCTCTGTTCTCGGTCGAACGAGAGAGCCGCGTCCTCGGAGCCGTATGAATAGAAGTGGGCGCGAGGGGGCAGAGTATTGTTGTGGATAACATTCAGGTTCGTCCAGTCAGGGAGAAACCCAGGGAATGATACTGCCATGGTTTCTTCTCGTGATGAAAGAAAAGGGTTGATGATGAGCATCAACTTGCACCTCACCGGTTCTTATAAACATCCTCAGGAACATCCCCGCAGGCTTGGTCTCCAATCTCCAGAGCTGTCTACGAGAGCCAAGAGAGCCAAGACTCCAAGGTGACTCTTTTCCACAGCCCAGAAGGTTGAGCTGGTCGGAAAAAGATCACCTCTGACCACTTTGTGAATTAATCAGCACATAATCAAACTACCACGTCGTAGGTTTGCCAATATTACTGCCCAGATGTATATGCAGATCATCACTCTAAAGTCATTCTTCCTCTTCCTTCGACTTCATTAAATTTCAGATATCTCATGAGCACCCGCTAATAATCTGAGGTGCACCTCCCTAATTCTAGCCTTTTCAATTGATGTTTCAACCGCATATACCAACGTACCAACACCGTCCGCACCGGCGTTGGCGATCGACATATTAGAGCAGGCCCCGCCACCCGCTCCACATCGCGGATCACTGCTTGAACAGGCCCTAGTGTACCCCGCGCCAATGGGGCTGGGTACTTGGGATCATTCGATTGGCAAAAAGCGAAAAAAGCGAACAGGAGGACAAGGGCAAAACGGAAGAATCTCACGGGAGTGGCTTGATGGAAACCCGCTTGGTGGTGAGCTCACTACATAATACGTCATGAGATGCGATGTCCCTCCAAAAAGAACCTCGCGATTGCAGGTCCGGTCTACTATATTGTCTCTTCTCGTGATGTTGCAAAGTGAAGTTACAAATTGGAGCCGACAGCCACCGATATGGCAATGTCGCTGGAGATCTTGCGATCGGTTATAGTCTCGGATAATACTACATCATTACACTATTGCATGATATATGATATACAAGATCTCTCGTCTTTATGTTACAGATTGAGGTTACAGAATAGGGAGGTTAGACAACGACCATGAGGCTCGAGCGTCGTGCTAAGCTGGGTGGGGATACCTGAAGTACATCAGAATGCCTAAGGTAATAATTTCCCCTCGTCTTCTTGGTTTTTCAACAGTTTCCGCCATACTCCGCATATCTTCCCTCAGCTGTGAACGTGGAGACAAAGGCGGTCGAATGTGGAGGGTAGCTACGCTGCCGTCGTCAAGAAAGAGGTTTTCCCCCAGAAGACTGCAGTTGAAAGGCCAATAAGATTCAGACATCAATACTGCTACGGGTAATATCCGATGCTCTTCGGAGAAATTGCGGCAAAAGCCCGAGATGGAATTCATTCTTCCGAGATATTTAGTACATAGAGTGGAGTACGCATGGAGTACAACATACGGAGTAGATGGAATTTATTGTTCCATACGCTAGAACCATTATAGCTAAGACCCTCTTCCTTCTATCCGGGATAATACAAGTAAGCCATCCTTATCCCTGTTATCCTCATCCTCCTTGTAGCTGTCATCGTCGTCATCGCCTGCAAGCCCAGAGCTGGTACTTTGATGCCAGTTCCATCCCTGCATTGCGCTTGTTTCCCGCGCTCTGTAGCTGTTTTTGAGACATTCTGATACGCTTGCGGGTAGATGCTACCTGACGGGAACACCCTGAAGGGATCTGACGTGCATTCAGATCACTCTTGGCTTGGCTCAACAAACGGAAGTACATGAGAAGAAGATCTAGCTTTGTCTTCACATATGGGAGAGGATACGAAGAGCACACGCATATAGCAGCGGCTTCTAGTCTATGGCTTGGGTATGGGTCTTGCCGCCCAAAAGCCTGTTATGGTCGCTCAAAATGTGCTCGATTTGGCGGATATTCCGATCGTATCGGGCATTGTGATGTTTATTCAGACTATGGCAGGGTAAGTGATGCTGGAATCTGTCCCAGAAGTGAAACAAAAGGTGAAAGGGATGAATTACTGACATACTCTTGACGGTGCAATCGTCACTACTGTTGCTTAATCTCTCTTCATCAATCACCTAGATCGAAACATCGAAAAGACACATGTCCCCGGTATCGACACGAGTAAAATCATGAGGGGAGGTGTCACGACTCTGACCAAGGGGCTACACGGGCCAGACAAGATCACCATCTTCAACGCCTTCGATAAGGCAATGGTGGATATGTGGTTGTTGCCTCTGGCTTTGTGCTGCATTAGTATCATTGGTGCTCTGCTCGTTGAGCGACGCAAAATACGGGGGCACGAGAAAGAGATTAAGGACGAGTTGGCATTAGCATCCCCATCGGTGGAGGCTTGAGGCTCGGTATAGTACATTGGATGATACTGTTGGACTTGAGATTGGTTTTGAATAGTCATGAATGGTTGTTAGCGAGGCTCGTCTGCATCCCGCACACGCTCTCTATAGGGTATCTTTTGTTTATCTATATCTCAAGATGTTTAATACTCACTTATACACAGAGCTTTACTGGCTTTATAATCTAAAGGAAAAAAATTGGTTTCAGGAAAATCCCTATTGCCAGGTAACAAGCTAGGAAACCGATACAGATATATCAATCGTTACAGTTTCGTTAACTATGCAACTAGGAGCACAAAAATCAATATTAATTTGTAGAAATAAACGCGGGATCTGCAATGAACAATCTTGAAGGTTGTATTATATTAATTGGATGTCGGGGCTTCGGACATGAATGTATGGACATTTTGAGCCACGGTGGTTATATCCTCATCATATTGACAGCTAATTGGGATTGCCTTCCATCATTTTCACCAACATTAGTGATCAAAAACACTTGATGCATATAGCAGATCTGCTATCTCGAAGTTTCGCGCGCCCTGCCGTGGTCCTAAACCTTCGATATTAGCTCTTAGGGTGTATTCTTCCTTCCACTTTTCCTCGTGCTCCTAAGCTCCTAAATTGCTTAGTTCCTTGGTATTTAGTTATTATCCTATCCGTTACGCTAGATACTGAGTTACCCAGAATAAATCCCTATATCGGTCACTATATAAAGAGGGGAATGTTTAAGGTAGTATACTCTGCGGTATATAGGTTGATTTAGTAGTTGTAATATAGCTTTATACCTCGTATAATATATAAAGCGAACTAGGGTAGTAAACTAAGGAGTTGATTAGGGGAGGTGTAGGAGTGTGTATTCTTGATCTATACACTGCTCACTGCATATAACCTCTAAAGCACTGATCTAGCATAGATGGTGGGAAAGTAGTATGCGTATAGTAGTGGGAGCCATGCTTCCCCATTTTTATATATATTGGCCCTCGGCATCAGCCCTCAAGTTTTCACGGATGCACCAGCTCCTGAGGTCCTACCAAGTATTTGCTTTTATCTCCCCAATCACTTTTGAATGACATCGAATAAATAGGGGCTCTTACAAAGGCTCATTGGGCTTCTATTACTTGATATAAGTGCTGATGTATACCACCCGTTAGCCGGCCGCCCGAAACACGCAGTGAATGCGATATTTTTTAAACTCGTATTGCAACCCCGTCGTTATTCGATTTCATTGTCCGCTTTCAAATTCGATATAGTACATCAAAAATATTGAAAGCAGCCTACATTGTCATGGTATCGAGAATTACGTTGCTCAAAGCCTGGAATACACGTCGCAATCGTAACAAGATAAAGGACTTTGCTAAAGCCCCCAAAATGCAAAATATCACCTTGAAAGTACAAAGCTATTGGAAACTTATGTTACTCGGACCAAGTTCCAGTGCGTATAAGAGGAAGAAATCTTGGATGCAGGATATTGTCGTCATAAAACATTCGTAAGATGTTTGAGGAATTCATACGATCTATGAAATTTTGATGAAGCTCTTTCAAGTATGGTGAATGCACATTAAAATGCAATACTGCATATGTAACAGGAGTAGTTAGATATCAGGTGTAGCAAGCATCTACCGATTTTCTATTCCATTCCGGACGGTTTCAGTCTCTTTTCACACGATCCTCACTTATGTTGACACGCAGATAATCACCTTTTGTCTTATCTCATTCAAATTCACCCAGACACATATTCTGCTCGATTCGTCTGCACTCCTTTCTTCTTCTATCCATTTCTACTCCTCCTCCGCTCTTGACTTTCAACTTTCAATGACAAACTCCCCTGTTCTCATAAAGCCTCCGGTGTGAAAAGCGGATTAACTACGGACGATCTCAAAGGGTCAAATCTGCTGGGTAGGTTGTATTTTGATTGCAGGAAAGTATCTTGATGATATTGATGGAGGACCTACTCGAGGTATATGGACTAATCCCACCCATTCTTTAGACAGCCATGCCACCTTCCCGCTATCAATACGGCAATAAGTCCAAGGAGCAGGTCAAACCTGCTAATCAGGACATCCGCCAGTATTATAACCCAGATCTACCACCTTATGGTCCTTGGAAACTTTGGCAAACCAAGCCAGAGCTTCCTTCTGCTGAAGAGGTCCTCGGGACAGATGTACCGGGAGACGTTGTTGCTCTTGCCCCTAACTGTATTTCGAGACCTTGGGCTTCCAAGGAAAGATACCTAGAGGCCCACTATGCATTGATCCGAGAAGATTCAATTGCACCACTTCGAAATGCTGTAGGCCGGGTTCGCGCCGACCCTTTCATGAGAGATACTCCGGATATCTCCATCTATGAGAAGGTAAGTGCTCTTCTCCCCGCAACGTTCCGTCGGCTTGTCAATTGCAGGTCTCTAATCTTTATTCTTTCTACACCAAAGGTCTTCGTTATCGGTGTCACCCTAGCCCGCTCGGGGTTCGCGTTGCACATCCAGTTCTCTACTCGCCGCGCGGGCAAAAACATTGCCTGGACATACTCTAACCGCCTTAATCCAGGGACGCTTGTTGCCCTCACCCCCAAGCACAATGCATTTATGAGCAAATGTGCCGTTGCTGTTGTGGCCTGCCGGCTCCTTGAAGGGGTCGAAAAAGACCCCCTGAGATTGATATATTCTTGGCCTCGCCCGACGATATCGAGATAGATCCACAGTGAGTTGAATGATAAATTGTCTACCCTCAAAGATACGATGATACTGAATATCATGTCTGTCTAGGCAAGAATGGATCATGGTTGAGGCTCGAGCCGGATATTTTGAGGCGAATCGACACACCCTGACAGCGCTGCAAAAGTTGTCAAAGGAAAGGTCAGGCTACAAATCATTAAGTTTGAAAAGCCCATCTGACTTTTGTCTAGCTTTCCGTTGAATGAACAAATCTGCAGCTTGGCAGGGGACATTGATGCACCGGAATACATCACCGCTGCGCCATGCATGGACTTCACGGCATTGTCTGAAGTCTCTGCACTCGACATCACTGGAAAATATGACGTACTTGAGCGATGGCCCTCCCAGCCAACGGGAAAACTAGATTCATCCCAATGGTCAGCCCTAAACCGAATGTTAACTAAAAAGCTAGCCATCATTCAGGGCCCTCCTGGCACAGGAAAAACATTTACCTCGATCGCTGCTCTGAAGATGATGCTTTCAAACAAAGGGCCAAAAGACCCACCTATCATTATCACAGCCCAAACTAACCATGCTCTTGATCAACTGATTAAACATATCTCCGTGTTTGAGAAGAACTATGTCCGGCTGGGTGGAAGAACTACCGATCCTGAAATTCGCAAGCGCACACCTTATGAGATCAAACAGAGCCAGGGTCAATTAAAAATTGAGGGAGGTTTGATGAGTCCCATGTTAAAAAAGCAAAACAAACTCGCCGATCAGATTGAAAAGCTCCTAGAGCCATTTGCGCCATCGAACAGCAGCAAGCCCCTTGCAGCATCTCTATTTCGTGAGCACGGCATTTTGAGTGAAGAGCAGGTTAAGTCGTTGGAAGAAGTCGCACGCAAATGGCAGCAATCCAATGCCGCTGCAAACGCCGATCCTTTGATGGCGTGGCTTACAGACTCTGTGAGGGAGTTCGACTACAAATACGTTGGTGGATTTGGATTTATCGATGACGATATTGACCGGGAGTACGAGCAACTGAAGGAGATTGAAGTCGAGCATGGAATTTATGAGGAGGACTGGTCGGCTTTCACAACTCGCTTTTTCCCACTGTCGCCTGGTCTTTGTGGCTCCAACAAGGGCAAAATCTCTCAAGCCACGGTTGAAAGTCTGCTGCAAGAACAGGACCTTTACAAAATCCACAAAAGATATCGTGGTGCTGTCTATCTTTACCTGCGCAACAAACTGATCACTTTCCTTGGAGAGCACCTGCATAGCCTCGCTCAATCTTACACAGATTGCTCTGCCAATTTCCAAATTGGTAGGTTTGAGCGGGACTATTGTGTTCTCCAGGAGGCAAGGGTCATCGGCATGACCAGCACTGGTCTTAGCAAATACAGAGGACTGGTCTCGAGCTTAAATCCCCGAGTGATCTTGATAGAGGAGGCAGCAGAGGTACTCGAGGCTCCTGTTGCAGTTTCTTGTCTTCCATCGCTTCAGCATCTCATTCTTGTTGGTGATCATTTGCAGCTCAAGGGTCAATGTGCCGACTATGAACTATGTGGCCACCCTTTCTACCTCGATGTCTCCATGTTTGAGCGTCTGGTGACAAATAAAATGCCCTACGCCATGCTCCAGGAGCAAAGACGAATGGTGCCAGAAATCAGGAAGCTCGTGGCTCCCATATATGGGGACCTTCTGCGTGATCATCCATCTGTTGAGGACCACCCTTTAGTTCCTGGCATGGGAGGAAGACGATCATTTTTCTTCGATCACACCTCGCAGGAAAGCGCCGACAGTCTATTATCGAAAGTGAATGACTTTGAGGCATCAATGGTGGTCAATCTTCTCGCTTATCTTGTAATGAACAAGGTTCCAGCAGCCAGGATCACTGTCCTGACATTCTACAATGGTCAAAGGAAGTTGATCATGCGAAAAAAGGCACAAAATCTCAACATCGCCCAAACATACGTCAACATACTGACCGTCGACTCATACCAAGGAGAAGAGAACGATATCGTGATCCTCTCGCTTGTTCGATCCAATTATCATCGAGGTATTGGTTTTCTCGAACAGGAAAACAGAGTCTGTGTTGCCTTGTCCCGCGCCAGATACGGTCTTTACATATTCGGCAACGCACAATGTGTTAGCAAACACAGTAGTTTCTGGCATGCAGTCACCAATGTGATGTCTGAAGATGAGACAGATCCCCGTATGGGATCAGCTCTGCCCCTTTATTGTGAAAGACACAACCAAGAAACCCTCATTGAAAGTGAGTCCATCACATACCCAGCAATACCAATAGAGAACGGTAAAAAGAATCTAACTGTTTCTTCTAGCTCTCAAGGATTGGAACGCTATCACCGACGGTTGCAGCAAGCCTTGTGGTAAGGATCTGCCATGCGGACATCCGTGTCCACGTAAATGTCACGGGTGAGTTTCAAATACCAATATATTCTATTTCTTCAAACACTAATCTCAAGCGTCATCAGTTCTGAACATGACTGGGTCTCGTGCAAACAGCGCTGCCCTGAGATTCTCGAGTGCTGCAACATGCCATGCATTTGTGTGTGCTCTCCACCACACACTCATGATTGCTTATGTGGTATGGGCAAGGAAAATAAAACCCAGGTCTTTGACGACGGATACGATTGGGACGATATGGGTGAAGATGATGATTGCGAAGCAATGATCGGTCCAATTCCTCGGACTCGAGTCTCAGCCCCAGCCCGCACCCCCTGCCTTTGCTATTGTTGAAGACGAAGATAAATCGCGGTTTGCTGAGGGCGTGCGCAGATGGCAGGAGTTTGCACAGGGTGGCGCCATGGTGGATGACTATCGTCGGGCTAAGCTTCATGTTAGGGGAAACCGTCCTCAACAAGATGATACGCTAGTTGGTAAGGATATCACTACTCCCGTTGAAGGAGACCTGATCAATTTCGATGATAACCCTCGGCCTGGGCTTATTGCTGGAGGGAAACGTCCTCGAAGAGATACTGCGCTGGATGAACAAAACGCGGCTGCTTCAATTGAGGGAAATATGATCAACATTGACCATCACCGCCAGGCTGGACTTGTTGTCAGGGGGAAAATCCCTCGGAAAGATACTACGCTAGAAAAGCAGAATGCCGCTTTTCCGGTCGAAGGGGACTTGATCAACTTTGACGTCGATGATGATCCTACAGCCGAAGTTGCAGGTACGGGGGCAGACCAGCCTACGGCTCCGGCCAAGGGAGGCGCGGCTACATATGACGGCGCTGGTGATGATCAGGCTGAATCTACGAGTGAGATAGAAAGCAAGCCCCCTTTTTTCTTCGTTGAGAATATCATCGCATTCGAAGGAGATGATCACTTTCCAGTTGGAGAGAATTCAGGGGTAGAACTGCTTACTGCTGCAGTCGGGGATGACGATAATCTGACAGGCAGTTTGAGTCTAGTCGACACCTCGTACCCTGCTGAGGTCGATGAGCTGCTGTTCTCTCCCGTGGAAGGGGAGCTGATTGAGCTCTGTTAGATCGGCTGTAAATGACACTTTGCTACATGCTACAGTCTCTGCTTTGTCGGTCTTAGCAGTCAAATTGGGGCGGATAACACAAACAGGGAATGAGGTCTGAATTCATGAAATGAGAAAATAGAAAAGCACAAAAAGACAGAGATGTGCCATATCCACAAGCATCAAGGTATGCCTTGGAGTTGTCACTAGCCACAAATCAATGCAGCCAAGAAGATTCGACTCCAGATTTGCTCGTATATGCTTGTTATTTGAAGGTCTGCTCATAGATAACTTGATATGTCCATTCGAGATCACTCGCTTGGAAGATTCCGAGATAAAATCTCAAAAAAGTCTTCCAGGGCTAGATATAATAAACAGTGAGTCATCCACCAGGAGACCATGAGATCATGAGATCATGAGTAAATACATTATGTTCCAAAAAAGCTTCAATATATACAAACATCAAAAGCGTAGTATTAACATCAAATCATAGTCATATACTCTTCCAAGCTCTGTCCAAGAACATTAATAAACGGCCACTGAGTATTTGTCCCAAATAACCTAGCCCATAACTTAAGAACAGCCAATCCCAAAGAAGCCGGTTCCAGATCTGGCGGTGCCTCGCCATCATCTGTATCAATAGACGAATATGCCTCCTCAATGATGCAACGGGTCCAGCGTAAAATCCGGGTTTCGTTTTCTGTGAGATAATTTTTAGCTGATAGACCTCACATCCAGCAGGCAGGATGTAGACATACCACTCAAAGACTGATCCGGTCCCGCCTCAGCAATGGTAAACAGCCATTTGCTTAGCAATACTGCACATTCAATGCTAGCTAGCGAGTGCCGAACGCTCCAAAAGAAGGCTTGACTCCGAGCGATGTGATCTATGCCCAGGCGCACGGGGATGCTGAGGGCATGAGCGGCGTATATAAGTGCCGGAATGAGACGATAGCTTCGTTCTGGCCGGGGTGAGCGGCGGAGTGCCGTCGCTATTATTGTCGGGTCGCGGGTTTCGAGGCGGCGGTGAGGACCGAGATTCAGAGATAGGCGGACGTATGCGAGCCCCAGGAATGCACTGGAGGTAAATGGGATTGGACCGTTTGCGTTCTGCGGATCTAGACTGGATTCTGGGGCTTGTTGCCACACGGAGGTCCAGGATCGGAGAGCTCGTCTATGAAACAGGTTGTTAGAGTTGGATTTGGGGGACATTTGTGAGTAGTGGACTTGCTCTAATTTATTCAGTTCCTCTGTTGGGAGAGTCGTGGATTGGTTTCCGTTTGGTAACGATAGCTCACTCACGAGGTGGATTCGTTGTAGGAGTCCGTGCAGGAGGATATAGTTACCCAATGGCGCGGGAATAGGGTCTAGTGGTATGGCTGATCGGGACTTTTGCAAGAGAAGTGTTAATGCGTCTTGGAAGAACAGCTGTTGGGGGCCTCGTTCTCTTTGGGCTGCTTCCCATTCCGCAGCGGTGCTGGCGGTCCATTCGACGGTTGAGCATGGAAGACGCAGGTGTATCTCATTACTGCGCAGAGATGGATAAGCATTGTATGCAACGCTGTGAACATGTATAAAGCAGAATGCAATCAACTTTGTACGCCGCGCGGATTCTTGGTCTGCCCATTCGTACCAGTCGAGCGGTGTGCGTGGATCAGAGCGTATTGTATCTTCTGTCAGACCAGCCTCGCGGAGATGCCGAACCAACAAGCCTTGAAGATGAAAGGCTTCTTGTACCAGCCTCGCACTTTCCCACGTAGAGTAGCCCATCAGGATGAGAAGGCAGCGAGTAATTTCAATTTGTTTCCAAACAGCAGTTCTTTCCGCTGACACCTGTGGTTGTGTAAGAGATTGATCAAAGTTGGAATAAGGTGATATCCCTAGCGGTACTTGAGAGCCTGAATTGTAACTTGGCTTGGCTGGAAAACGGGGCTCTCTCGACATTCGTTCAAATAGAACAGCTTTGGAAACGTGGAATATTCTTTCTGCATTGCGGTGCTCAAATCTATACTGAGCTCCAATCGTCATGATAGCAAGAACCACCTCGGGGGCGCGATCATTGATATTGAAAGTTGGGATGTGCATAAATGGAAGATGTGGGTGGAATCCTTCAAAATAGGATGTGAGGTACCGAGTCAATGTGTGACGAGACGGCAGTACGAAGTCCGGAATGACATGGCGAAATTCTTCGAGAGATGCCGCAAGCCGAAACCGTTGGTCTTCGGTGACATTGAATCGTGACGGCCTTTTCGCGTTTTGGGGTGGTTCTAAAGCATTGTCAGTGATATACAAAAGATAAGCACTATACGGTGTTATATACCAGAATCAGACAGGGTTCCTAGGCTTTGGTCGCCCCTCGGCACAGATGGAAGCCATGATCTGAATGGTGAGTCCCCTCGGGAGCCTTCTCCACTTCTTCTACGCCGCTCGTGGTGCTCTTGGGTCTGTCGGACTGTCTCTCTCAGGTCTTCCAGATTGACCTCCTGTGTCTGAGATCTTTCGCCTTCGCTAGGAACCCATTCCCCCGGCAAGCCAATGGAATCCAAGAAGTGGGTAAATTCCTGGAAATGATTCAAATCTTCAGGCAAGTAGGGCATCGGTTGTGCTATTATTTCGTGTCAGATCAATATATCTCCAATGATAGAAGTCGGGCCAAAAGGGGACGAGCAGATGTTTCATGGGACATAACGAAGTATATGACTGAGCAAATATGAAAGTGAAACGCACCTGTAGGTCGGTAGTCACCTGGGAGAAGCAGCTGGGCAGCTTGAAGCATATCCGGGTCATGTACCATACCCGTATGCGGGTCAATGGCAGGGTGTGGAGCTGCAGTAGCAGCAGGCAGCATGCCGGCATTGTGATGCTGCTCTAAATAAGGTGTGTTCTGTGACCCACCCCATTGGTGCACAGCCGATGATCCTGCAAGGGGTCCCACCGGTACGGAACTAGGTGGTGTATCATATTCCGGGGGAATCGATGCCGGCTGATGTGTTGGCTGGAAATCCGGCTTCGTCGTTGGCTCGGGCGGCGTCGGTGAGTTCACGCTATCTTGATGTGATATACGTGTGTGACGCTTCAATAGGTCCCTTCTAGTAAAGGCCGCCCCACAGAAGCAGATGAACGGCTTCTCTTTGGTGTCTTTATCTGAGTTAGCATTAGCTGCGGGGGTATCCCCGGAAAATTGCTTACGAGTGCGAATGTGTCTCTCCAAATGCTCAGTTCGTCGGAAGCTCCGACCGCAGTGTATGCAGATACGAGCCCTTGCTCCACGAGCACCCCTGTGCGGCTGGGGTGATGGGGACATTGGAACATTGGGGGATGGAGAACTTGGGGAAAATGATGCCTTACTGAAGTGGATGTGGGAGATTCGACCCCAACTGCTCCAACTTGGGGCCCGCCGGGACCTTTCGGCCCGCGATAAGCGATAAAGGTGGGGTTGGCCTCGGCAGATTTGGAGACACGGGAGGTATAGGACTTGCACATTCAGATATATTTCGGTATCTTTGAATCCTTGCTCTTCGCTAGCAACATGTTTCCTGGTGTTGCAGTAATTACTGGTGCAGGTGGAACTGGTTGGTCAAGTCACCAAAATACGAGTATCAATCACTCACTCACATGGCACAGGAATCGGTGCTGCAACTACAAAAGCCTTTGCTGCAGCTGGGTGTAAGCAAATCGCTATCACAGACCTCAATGAAGATTCTCTACGCCAAACGGCAGAAGTCATCACATCAACATATCCCGACGTTCGACTACTGGTAAAAGCCGGGAACGTGGCAGACGACCAATTCGCAGATTCATTCATTGGTGCGGTTGTACAAGAATTCGGCCGCGTAGACTATGCCGTGAACTGTGCAGGTGTCCTTGGTAAGTCTCGACGCTCGACAGAGACATCACTTGAAGAATTCGATCGCGTCAATAACATCAACTACCGAGGCTGCTGGCTCTCATCTCGCGCAGAGCTCAGGCAAATGGTCATACAAAGTGAATTACCTAGCCATGATGTCAACCGTCCACCTCAGCGTGGTGCTATTGTAAATGTCGCCAGTCAACTTGGCATTGTTAGCCGCCCGGGTGCTCGTAAGTGTTGTCTTCTACCCGTGAAACACCTTATTGATAGTGAGATAGCGGCATACTGTGCATCGAAAGCTGCTGTCATTGGAATGACACGCGCAGATGCGATTGACTATTCTAAAGATGGGATTCGAGTCAACTGTGTATGTCCGGGTGTTATTGAAACGCCACTGGTAATGGAAAAGCCTGAGGTCCGTGACGCCATCATGCCAGCAGTACAGACCGCACCGATGAAGAGAATGGGTCAGCCAGCAGAAGTAGCTGATGTAATTCTTTTCCTATGTTCAACGCAAGCATCTTTTGTACAGGGCCATGCCATGGTGGTTGATGGTGGATATATAACGGTCTAGCCACATGAGCTGTGACAGGATATAGGGAACACAATTCGAATTCTTAAATGCTACAGACGCAAATTAGTGCCTAGTTTCTGTCTGTAGAGTAATGCATCTTCCTCCAGTCAAAATGAGTCTCCCATACATGCCCAGCTCGCAGGACCTTCTCTTCCTGCCATAGTCCACCAACAATCTGCATCCCAACTGGCAGCAAGACCTGGTTATCTTCCTTTGCTGGGGCAGAGCCGACAGGAATAGTTAGTGCCGGGTGACCCGTCACATTAAAGATCGCAGTATTTATTGTAAGACCCATACTGGGCTTGAGGGAATTCAGTGGGAGTTCCCGCTTTCCATGTTGAGGGGCAACGACTGGCGTTGTAGGCATTACCAGGATATCAAACTTCTCAAACAGTGCTTCATACTTGTCACTGAGAAGTCGTCCAATGTTGACAGTCTTGCCGTAAAGACCAGGGAATTGCTTCGTTAGATAAAGACCGTTAATGATTACGTTCTTCGTGGAAGGGAATGCCCTTTGGAAACCATCATCAGTCCACGGAAGTCGCGCACCATCCATTTCACTCATGTAAAGCCCTCTTCGGCCTGTATTTTGGCCCAGAAGAGTCTGCGCCCCGGCGATTCGCTGCTGAATCGTCCAGATCGAGGGCCCGTGAAGATGCTCGGGAATAGATACTTCCTCGATTGTTGCGCCCAGATCTTTGAATTTCTGGGCGGCAGTCAATACTGCGCCCTTAACATGGGGGTCCACAGCGCTGTGGGTAAATCCTTCAATAAGAATGCCGATCTTGAAGCCGTCAAGTGTGTTCGGATTCTGCTGAATCGCCGCAAATGCAGTAGAGTCTGGTTTCGAGCTACCGAGAGCCCGATCATCGATACCATCATATCCACTGATAACATCCAGACATGCTGCAATTTCAAGTGTTGTTCGAGCCAGCGGACCAGCATGGTCATTCACGGCATCGCCGCTAGCAATTCCAGTGTAGGGAACGCGCCCATAGGTGGGCTTAAGCCCGACGCCTAGAAGTAGTTTAGCTCACAGACATACACTATGAAGGAAGAGCAAAATCTTACATCCACAGAACGCAGCGGGAACGCGTATACTGCCACCCTGATCACCCCCAATCGTAATGTCCACTATACCAGCGGCGACCAGCGCTGCACCGCCCGAGGTACTCCCGCCTGCTGAATAGCCCCTCGCATGTGGATTCTCCACCGTACCCTGAGCGCTAGTATATGAGGAAGTAGAATGACAGAGATTCTCACACGTCGATGTGCCATGGATATCCGCACCAGCCTCGAGCAACCGCGTAACTACAGTTGCGTCCGTAGTCGGTGTCCAGGAAGGAATGATATCGCTTCCTAGAAGCTGCGGTACACCCGCAACCGCAATAACATCTTTCAAACTGACGGATTTGCCTGCCAGTGGCCCTCCTTCGGGATTACCCCGAATCAAAAAGCGGTGTGCCCAGGCTTGTCCGAAAGCCTGTTCTTCTGAACTTGGCCGACGCACATTCTGCCGTGGATACTTGGTCTGGTCGGGGATTGGTTGGTAGTCTGGTAATGCAGCAACACTTTCGGCGCAGTCGTGGACTGCTGCGAGAAGAGTATGGAAATCTTGCGCTTCGACTGGGTCGATGGTCAGGCCGAGCGGCTTAAGAAGGGCTTCCGCATCACCCGGTTTGACTGGGTTGTTCCTATGGCAATCTTCAGTCTATGATGCAGTCACGAAATATCAAAAGACTTACTCTGAAATATTTGTGAAAAGAACTGACATGATTAATCGGCGACACTCTTGGATACGCTGACGGCGGCCCCAGGGGATGTCGCGATTTATGAGAAATCCTCATTGTTAGATTTCTCTCCTGATCCTTCGTTATTCTCCAACATTGTATATCTTGGAGTCCACTCAACTGGGTCTCATTGCCTGGAGACAATGCCTACCCCAACAACCCCAATTGCGTTGGAGACATCTCGGCATTGTGAATGAAGTTCACAAGATAACGGAAATGTTGTAAACAAATGTCTGTCATCGGGTCGATCACTATATCAGTGAAACAGTGGAGGTGGAATCGTCGGTCAGTCGGTGATGTCGCCGACGGCTCGTCTTCCCCGCATTCGGTTGGAGCTCACCACAACCTTTCCTTCGACAATTTTTCTTCCAAATCCGAACCTTTGAGCAATGGCACCAAAGCGAGTTCTCATTACATATGGCGTGGATGTTGACGCTATAGCCGGCTGGCTCGGCTCCTATGGTGGAGAGGATTCCACAAATGATATCAGCAGAGGTAGGTTTCAATGTTTGATTTCTAGAAATTTGCTGACTATGGTATAGGATACTGGGCAGGAACAATTGGGACCCAACGGTTACTGAAATTGTTTAAAAAATATGATATCAAGACAACATGGTTCATCCCCGGCCATTCCCTCGAGACCTTCCCGGAGGATATGGCGGCAGTCCGCGACGCTGGCCACGAGATCGGCCTCCACGGTTACTCCCACGAGAACCCAACAGACATGTCGCTAGAGCAGCAGCGTGATGTGCTCGACAAAACATATCGGATGTTGACCGAATTCGTTGGAAAGCCCCCTCGAGGAAGTGTGGCACCTTGGTACGACCACAGTCTTGAACCTAGGATGCATAAGCCGTACTAATGAAATTCAAAAAGGTGGGAAACAAGCAAAGAAGGAGCCCAACTCCTCCTCGATTACGGCATCGAGTACGACCATAGCATGAGTCACGAAGACTGCCAGGCCTATTACCTTCGCACAGGCGACATCTGGACTAAGATCGATTACAAGCAGAAGGCCGAGACTTGGATGAAACCTCTTGAGCATGGTCCCCAAACAGGGATTGTGGAAATCCCGTCCAACTGGTACCTTGATGATCTACCGCCGATGCTGTTCATCAAGAAGGCTGCCAACAGTCATGGCTTTGTCAACCCGCGGGACGTGGAGGACATGTGGCGCGACCATTTTGACTACTTCTATCGTGAGTATGATGAATTTGTTTTCCCGATTACTATCCACCCGGATGTTTCAGGAAGACCTCATGTGTTGCTGATGCATGAAAGGTATGATTTGATGATAACGTTGCGTGCAGTATGACTTGGGACTAACCTTCGATAGGCTTATTGAACACTTTAAGAAGCACGAGGGAGTGGAATTTGTGACGATGGAACAGGTTTGCGACGACTTCAAGAAAAGGAACTCTCCTCCGCCTGGGGCTTTGATGCCAGCGAAGGCTGGGGCGATGTTAGAGGAGCCACTAGATGTCATAGAAGCTATGAAGCGTATACCCTAACGCTTCTTAATTTGACCACACATGACAGTATCTACCCTGGCCTATGATACATATGTGCGGTTAACCATCCGTCACCCAACATGACTTCTACCCCAAATTGGTATCTCGGACCAATTAATTGTTATACAGCTATCGGATTGGTTAAACTGACTTGAAGATCTATTTCCACGTCTCTATTAATGTCTACCCCAATGAAGATAACTACATCTTACATACCCCAACTATGTATACCCCAAATCGACCTGGTGCTATCCAATCATCCAATCATACTCCCATCACGGATAAGGCGCAAATCATTGGCAGGCGTGGTGATAAGGAAATGACGGGCATTCTGTTCATTACAAGCTCCAGAAATGTTGTAACATCGCGTATGATAGCTGTGTCGATGCTCAATGTATAATTTCTGTTATCCATCTGCATCATCATTTCTCCTTGCTTGGTACGATAGTCATTGGCGGTGTTAAATGCAAGATCACGCATAGCTGGTTCCCATAGCTTGAGCTTGGTAATACCTGCATGGCTGTCGTGATTATTGAACAGTACGAAGTGTGTGCAGCCCTGATAAGGATATATCCAATAACGAACAAGAACAAGAACATGCATTAACCCTTACCCTGACTAGACTGAACAGCCACACTACAGACCACATCTCAATCGAGTCTTCGACCCCTCACCACATCCCAGCCGCCGTACTCCGTACTCGTAACGGTGTTTATCTCCGCCGGAACTTCTGCTTTCTCCTGTATGATCACCGACATACGTGAGTCGAAATTCCATCCGATGCTTCAGTATCTTCGGGTGATGTTGGTATTATACCCCCTCCCACCCATTAGCTGATGTACGCCTGCAAATAAATTGCTTCGGCAGCAGACTCAGCTGATTATTATCGGCTGTTTGCTCAATATTGCCAGTGTCGTGCACGGGGATATCTTGGCGCGTTTTGTCTTGGCGTATCAAGCTGTTTCTGCACTGGCGCTTTTGGCAGGAATATAACTCCGTCGATCTGTATTCGAGATAATTGGAGGGATAATATGAACGGGTGTGGCTTTGCTCGGCAAAAGTTGAAGATTTATAGGGGAAGGTCCACGGGTAAGATCTATTGGCTCCGGGAGTTGGCGGTATGAAGATTGGGATAGAAAGATAAGGGTCTGGACATCATGGACCTCGGGGGTATAACATGGTGACATACTAGAACATAAATGTGGTAATTCATGGTCTACTTCGTACTCCACCTGCTCTCTTTCTCTTGACCTCTTCTCTCCTTCTCTCTTATATATCACATACATCAAATCCCCACCTGGGTATCCGTTATCTTACCATACCACAACATCGCCATACCAGAAGATGGCCGGCAAACTTGCCCTAGTCGTCATATTAATGCACTCAATCCCAATCCTCGCACTCCCTACCTACGAAGTCCCAATCACATCCAAATCCCTTACGTCACCCCACAATAAACGATACTACTTCCCAGAGACCCTACCCGATGAAGACGAGCTCAAAGCAATAAAAGAAACAGTCATGCGCGAAGCAGGGTTTGTCACTTCATCAAATCCATACCCGGAGTCTGGACCGATGCATAAAATGGAGACGGAGCTTCGAAAAGCACATCCGAATCCGGATGCAGCGATCGACACGGCTGCGCCGGCAAAACCGGCTAGATACACACAAGACACAGAGCTGAAGCACTCGCAGTTCCGATCCCGTCTGGAAGAGTCTGAGACATTCGGGTCGGATGAATACGAATACCCGATTTACTGGCCGCCGTTTGGATTCTTTGTTGTCTCTGCTGCGATTGTGTGCCTCGTTACCATCTTGAAGGGGATCCGCGCGAAGTGAGAATGGGCCATGTGGCTGTCGGATTAATTTTGTTGAATCGGTTACCTCGTTCGCTTCCTTTCTTGCCCTTCTCGAAATGAAGGTATGGGTTTTGCTAGGGTTATGCGATTGCCTCGGCATTGAGAGCTCCGTCCTTTCCCCACTCGGTCGGAGGCTTGTTTGATTACTGTGGGACTGCAGCAGTCCCGCCATTGAATCGACCCCAAATCGATCATTGCCCAATTTGGGATTCCTTTGACGAATTGGTGGAATACAAGAAATGGAGGAGTAATAGCTCTTTCAATAAGGGCTTGGGTGTACATCCTGCATGATACGCCCGACCATGCATGACGACTCGAATGCTGTCATCTAGCTGGAATCATCCTCCCATCCCGACTTGCGACAAGCTATGAGAATGTCATTTGAGGGAGGGAGATATTGGGCGTGGCATGTGTATGTGGGCGGAATGGAATATCAGGCGCTTCATGGCCGAGACTTGCTGAACAGACGATAAGCAACTTGGGCATTGAAGATGAACGGGGATGTTCGGATTCAAGACATTCCATTTGCTTCTGTGGAATCATAGAGTGCGTTTGCCAGTGTCAAAGGGCTAGTGCATGTTTGTTTGCTCTAAATACAAATGCCTCGATGATGACTACATTAAAAAGGAGGCGCGATGGACCTGCATGGCGGACACAGCACAAAGCCCCTGAGCTAATGGTATATTAAAAAAAAAAAAGCTCTAGAGAATCTGAAGTAATGCCGCAATCATTCTCATTTTCTATCACAAGCATAAATTCTGACGATATGTGCCATCCGAGATGGAATAGAGGTAAGATTACAAGACAGAAAGAATGTGATAACAGATGCATGTGCAATGTAGCAGAACGACAAGAAGGCAACCGAGGACGCCACACTGGTGCGAGAGTAGTCCATGATAATCTTGGAATAGATGGTGATAGTGAAGCCTCCCGGCCAGAAAAATGATGATTACATTGATGTGTCTCTCGCTCTCTCTCTCTTTTTGCATCCCCGCCCCGAGGAATGAGCGGGGGATAACCAAGAACAGGTAATAGACAAAGCACGGTAACAATGGATATGTACGCGAGAGATTCTATAAGATAGGGAATATGAAAAAGAAGAAAGCAACAGCGCTGTTGCTCTAAGAGTCATCGACAAGACGCTTCTGGGTCCAAGCACGCTGGGCCCCATCTAGAAGAACATCCATCTGTCCGCTGTTCTCGCACATGCCGCGGAAGAGGCCTTCTTCTTTGTTGATGAGGGTCCAGGGGTGGTCGTACTCGATGACGCGGCCGTGGTCGAGGACAAGGACCTTGTCGTAGTCGATAATGGTCTGGAGACGGTGCGCGATCGTGATGATTGTGCTATTGCTCAATTCGCGGAGGGTCTCTTGGATCTTGGCATCGGTGGCGTAGTCGATGGATGCAGTTGCTTCGTCCATCATCAAGACGCGTGGGCTCTTGAGCAGGGCACGAGCGAGGCAGAGGAGCTGTCGCTGGCCTTGGGAGAGGTTGGAGCCGGATTCCGAGACTTGGCTCTCGAGGTTGTTGAAGATGTTTTTGTTGTCGACTACTGTCACTGTGCTGCTATTCACGCCATTGGCGTTGCCGTTCGCTTCCGTGGCGGTGAGGGAGCTCGAGGTTGTGGGAGTTGCAGTGCCCGAGGTGCTGGATCCGATTAGGTGCACGCGGCGGAGGGCTGTGAAGATCTGCTCGTCGCTGAAAAGGCTGAATGGATCCAGGTTGGTGCGGAGAGTGCCTGTAAACAGAGTAGGATCCTGGGGGACAATGGTGATTGCCTCACGCAGGTCGCGCAGTCCAATTGACCCGATATCAACGCCGTCAATGATGATCTGACCCGCCTCGGCTTCGAGGCCGCGGAAGAGAGCCAGCGCAAGAGAACTCTTGCCAGCACCTGTGCGACCCACAATGCCGACCTTCTCACCGGCCTTTACAGAGAACGAAACCTCCTTGAGAACCGGGTCCAGATCGGGCCGGTACCGGGTACTGTATTTATTGAACTCGACCGCACCTTGGCTGGGCCAATTGGAGGCAGGTCGTGATTCTTTGATAACAGAAGCTGCTTCCTGGTCCACGTCAAGATATTCTCTCACACGCTCGACAGAGTTCATGTTTTGCTGGACCTCGGAGTACAGACGCACAAGCCAGAGAACATTCTCTGTGAATGTAACGGCGTAGGTCAACGAAAGACCAGCGGCACCTGCATCAATCTTTCCAACATTTAACAACACAAAGGTGGCCGAGAAGAAGGCGACCAGAGCACCAGTCCAGTCGACACGGAGAGCGAGCCAGCGGTTGCTAGCCCAAAGGTAGATGTGCGGCCGGTTGTAAGCATTGATGCGGCGGTGGTTATCGATCATGAAGCGAGGACCGTCGCCATAGGCACGAATGGTGACGATACCATTCAGTGTCTCACCGAACTGCTGGTACAGCGGGCTACGCTGCACAGATTCCAGACGCTTGAGGTCTCGGGAAGAGTTCAAATAGACGGCACCGAGGGCAGTGTATACCATGGTGATGAACACACCAGCAATCAAGAATCCCGGCGTGATCCACGAAATCAGAATGACAATCATGATCACAGATGCCAGACTGTGGAGCATGCCGATAGCAACAGGAGCAACTTCCTGGTCGATGGCCTCAACATCCTTGGAGAACCGGTTCATCAGTTGTCCAAGAGGCGTCGAGTCAAAGAATCGGAACTTGGCGTGCATGACCGCCCTGAGAAGGCGATCGTGAATCTTCCATGATGCATGGAGCGAGCCCCAGAACAGAACAGCTTCCCGAGACAAAGAAATTGCAATATAGAGGAATCCCAGGAGTGCATAAACTCCCAAGTAATAAGCCACATTCACCTCGCCATCAGCCTCACTGGAAGAGCTTGCGCCAAGTTGGGGCAGACTCCAGCTGCTCACGCGCCCAACACTTCCAACGTTGAAAGTGGGGGCCTTGAGGTGAGCGGCGGCAGCGTACTGCCCGGCATCCTCATTTCCAACCTTGGAGGTATGGTAAGAGTTTGCCCACTGTCTAATCCAGAGGTTGGTAGAAACGGAACCCAATTGCTGCAAGCAGAACACCAGCACGGCACCGATCCAATAATACCATGGGCCCATGGCACGGAGGTACATGATGACGGTCGACCACTTGATACTACCAGTAGCCTTGGATTCAGAGAGCTTGGCCTTGTCTTCTTGGGCCTTTCCGTTCGCGGTGCCGTTCAAATCTTCATCCTCTGCTTCATGGTCCGATGCTGGCTGCGAGAGTCCACGGGAGCTGGCAAGGGACTCGGGTCGAGATTTGGTGAACTCATCGCCCAATGCACCAGTGGCGGCAACATCGCTGGGACGGCCCTGGGCGGAAATTCTGCCGTTCTCAAGTACCACAACATGATCAGATTGGGGAACAGTCAAACTGACGTTATGTGTGACCAAAATGCATGTGCGGTTCAACATTAGCGGGCCAGTAAGTGCTTGGCGGAATATGTGCTTGGCGGTGTGAGAGTCCACAGCAGAGAGGCAGTCATCCAGTAGCAAGTGGCGGCCACTGCTGTAGATAGCACGGGCAAGAGAAATTCGCTGTTTTTGGCCACCAGATAGACTGATGCCCTTCTCGCCGACGAGAGTCTGATCGCCAGCATCAAGGATAGCAAGGTCACGTTCCAGAGCGCATGCTTTTAGAACTGAACGATAGCGACGCTCATCATAGGGAGAGGCGAAGATGATGTTTTCCTTTACAGTGTCGTTGACCAACCACGCTTCCTGGGCACAGTAAGCAACACTTTCAACCAGGCCAGTTTCGGGGTCCACTGGGAGGTCTGCTCTGTTGGACATTCCACCTGGGAGATGAACATGACCCTCGAGAAGTTTCATTTCTCCAAGCAAAGCCATGAGTAGGGATGTCTTTCCGGATCCAGTGGGGCCAGCAATGATGTTAAGTTTACCAACAAGGAATTCGACGTCGATATTGATCAAGCGGAAGGCGTTCAAGTCGGCATCGGCTACAACATCTTGGTCCTCGGCAGTGGAAGTGCTCCAAGATAGGGTTGCCTTTTCAAGACCAATCTTGGCAGGTGTACCAGTGGTAGTACTATCACGGAGTTGATCGTATTTGCCCGTTTCCTCCTCGTTGAGGTACTTATCCACACGGTCTAAGGAAACCTTGCATTCCTGAACGTGAGCCACCATATCCGCAAGCTGATCCAAAGGCACACGCAGCAAGGAGAACATGGACAAGGCAGGGAAGGCGATTGAAGGGGTCAACTGTTTTTTCTCAACCACAGTGTACAAGAAGAAGGACATGAACGTGATGAGAATAGGCGTACCGTACCAAACGGTTGCGGCACAGGACCAGAGGATGTATCGTCTGCGCAGGGCTTTTAGTTCATTCTTGCGCTTCTCGCCGACAATATCCTGGAATCGTTGCTCCCAGGCAAAGTACTTGATGATGCGGATGTTTTGAAGGACTTCATTGGTGGCGTGGATACGGGCATCAGTGCCCTTCAAAATCTGATTCTGGACCTTGTTGAACTGGCGAGCGATGAAAAGGTTGATAGGCAGCATGAGGGCCATCAGGGCGATACCAGCAAATGAGCTGAAACCCATGATGTGGTAGAGCAGAACAACCGCCATTATGATCTGGACTGGCACACTTGCCAACAAGAAGTGGAGATAGGCGCCAACCTCGCTTACCTTGAACGAATCGATCGCCATCAAGTTGATGATTGTGCCAACATTGGCCTGTGTAGGTTCCTCTGCTAGGGGATCTGGCTCCTTTCCAACCTCGGTATCATTTCCATTCGCGTCCTTCTTCTTGCGACCAAAGGAGAAGAGCTTCTTCTTCTTCTTCTTATCCTTGGGCAAGATTGGATCTTCTACGGCTTTCTGGGTAGCCTCCACAGAAGCGCCTGCCTTGCGGCGAAGAGCTTTGGCATATATTTCACCAATAATGATCGCACGGATTCTCACACCCATCTTGCGACCGATAAACAAGGCTTGTCCATCTGCTACGCCCTGGACCGTGGCGCAACAGAAAAGCAGAATGGCAAACAACCAAGCCGCATTCGGCGTGGTCGACCGAGGATCTTCGACGTACTCGAGGATAGCTTTCAGAAGTAGACTAGGCATGAAAACGAATAAATTGGCAAAGAGTGTCCAGGCACCCTGCTTTAGAATCGTCCCCATGAAGAACCGAAGCAGCTTCCATGCCAAAGAGCCTTTCATTTGTCTCTTGCGGAATTCTGCAAGCACGTTCGCAGCCTTCTGAGAGGGAGTCAGGTTCCAAACATCCGCAAGCTCCAGGGGCTGACGATAGCCCTTCATGACCAAAGGGTCGAGCCAGGAAAACGTCGCAAGAGAGAACAAACTGGCCATTGGATGCGTCGGAGGTTCCAATCCATCCTCTCGCTCAATCAACACTGGCTTATTGCCTCGGCGAGTGGTGAGTGCAATGAGCAGAAGCACGGTACTCAGAGTGAACTGAACGCTGCTGAGAATCAGGGCATTCCGAGACAAGGGATGGATTATAGCGGATCGGAAGACCATGATGTTGAACAACCACTGGAAGCTGTATAAAATTGCCGTATGGGTCCATAGTCTCGGGGCGGAGGAAAGATCCATAGTCGATAGCAAAAACCGGACCAGCACCAAGAAAAGGATATAGCCCCACGATACAAGCCCAGCTACGGCGGGAAGGGTTCCATGTCGGCCCCAGCCTTGAGTCGACAAAATGACAATATAGACCGCAACTTGTCCAATCAAAGCAGCGATTTCAAGTATTACAACGGCGATCTCTCCGCGTGGGCGATCGACCTCGACCTGAGAGTGTTCGTGTTGTACAGCTTGGGACAGAATCGTATCGGACTCGTTTTCCTGAGTCGCACTGGGGATCTCATCTTCAGAATCGTTGTTCGGGATGACCTTGTAAGCGATACGTTTTCGGGTGACGATATATCGATGAGCGAGGCGAAACAAGATCAGCAGCAGCGAAGCGCCGCAGACTGTGAGAGGAAGTAGAACCTGAAGAATGCTAGTACAATATATTGTGATCAGCATAAAATTTGAACGGTCGGGCTTATCCATTGGCGCAGACTCACTTGCGCTGGAAGCAACGAGACAGGTCGTCGATAGCCCAGACGGGACCTTGACATTGCGGCAACATGGTTGACCGCAAAGCTCGCAGAAAACTGAAGCTCTCGGACCTCGCGCGACTAGATCACACAGCTCTTGAGCTGGCGACTGCAATGAATGGATATTGCGATCGAGATTTGATTTTCGTAAACCCTTTAGCAACAATTATTTCACGGGATTGCCGGACAAGTGTGGCATCGCAAACTCGAGATGAACTGTGACGCTGTAATAAGGGTCCTGAGACCGAGGGCCGTTGAGGCAAACGAGCAGGGGGACTACTCAGATTCTGCGAAGCAAATGATCACCAAATATATTCAAGGTGTTGAGATATGATTTCTTTGGGGGAGGGGGAAAGAGAGAAAATGGCAAATTGTTCCAAAACCGGCGGTGGACGGACTTCCGGTCGAGAGTGACATTGGCCACCACCCAATTTTGTTGGTGGAGTGAGGTACCATATACCCATTAATAATCTTTCCGCATACGAGGTTTGATCACAATGCTATTATCGACTTAAACTCCTTTGGGAGCCCGAGGGGTAATTGCTCTTTCATCATTGGATTCAAGGATATGACTTGTCTCAGTCTGCTTATCGTTCTCCACTGTAAACACGTCTTATCGTCCTTTATACATCAGAACTTGGACTACTGCGTACATAGAGCTACAATATGGTATAGGGATGGGAAAGGTACGGCCAATCTTGGTAATTTCGTATAGCATCTGGTGAATCGAACCTTGCAGCGGAAGAGGTACAATCCAATGTGCATATTAGTGGCGCATCCATTGTTCCTGGTCATCAACAAATGCCTCATCGTAGGGGTTCATTTCAAGCCAAGCGTCTGGATTGAAAGTGCGCCCAAATTCGAGATAGAAATGAGTGAGGGTGTCGTTAAGGCCTTTACCACACATCAGCAATTCTTCTACTCGTCGAGACATATCTTGAACGTACTGTCAAGTAACATGGGATGCACCGGTTGTAGAGAAAAGCGAGAAGTACGCTCACGGAAAAGAACCAGCGACTTTGGAATAACGGTACCTTGGATGATGGTAAAATTAGTATCGCATATTATGACAAGCGCGTTTAATCACCTTTAGGTATGCACAGATAATGAGCTTCGGCGGCGGGATCACCACTTTCTACGTCTTCCAAGTAATGATCATTCGATATCCGTGTGACCTGTTGCATGTATTGCGTATTTGGCATAAATAATGCACCATTCGAAACTAAATAGGTTAACGGGCGAACAATGTGGTGATGTATTCGCTTACAATCAGCAGTCGCATTTGGGTGAACCAAGCCATCCGGTGTGACTTCTATTCCATCTTCGTATTCCCACTCATCTCGTTTGAAATTTCTGTCATGAAGCCTTGAATTGCGGTGTATTTGAAATCGATACAAGCTTGCTGGAAAAGTCGAGTGCCTCGACATATAAGAGAAAGGGCGGTGATGTGAGCGACGTGATATGCTCAGCCCAGGGGCCTGCATATGACGAATGATTTCTTGGAGCATCACTTCATAGACAGCATTATTGGCTTGGTCTTGAGTCGGGAAGCACAAAGCTCAATGAAATATATAATTATCTCATACTCAGGTAGTTACCAAAAAGGGAAGCTCCATGACGAATTAATCACATCACCCGAAGGCCCGGAGATATATATATATATAAATATATCTATATGTAATATGTCATGCTGGTACTATGTGCATATGTAGCCAGTCTAGTGATCCTGCTAGTACGTACTTGATGAATTATAATATCACAAGTGTAGACGGCCGCTTCTGCGGCCTTATGATGTCTTTCTTACAGGGCTTTTTAGGGGTCTTTTTAGCAGTCTTCTCGATAGCTTTCTTAGTGGGCTTCCCGGATTTTCTTGGATATCCATGAAAATAGTTTTCCCCCTTCCAGTGTTATTGTGTAAACGGTAGAAAAAGGCGGAAAAAGCATACTCTGTGCAAGTGACTTTTCTATGTATAACTTCTGACAATCCCAAGCACAGTGTTAGTTTTCGTGAAAGAGAGCTTGGGGTGCTCTTGGGCTACGATGGCGTTCATTGATTTATAGTTTTATTGCCTATTATACGGCCAAGAGACGGGAGGAGGTGGAGAGACTAGCTCGTAGGCCCTAAAAATAAAGTTGTACAAGCTTTCAGACTTGGCGCAGAGGATAACGGTGGTTTGAGATCACTTCCCATCTTCCGTATTTCTATATTCATTGTGAGGGTCATGGTCCGGCATGCGTTTCAGTGTTCGTGCGAATGTCGGGCCGTACGAGCATCCAGCGGGAGATAAATCCATGCCTGTCTCATTATTCTTTCCATTGACTGTACACAAAAATGATCAGCTATATATGCGGCCTCTTTCCTGACGTACGCCTTGAATATCCACCCGGAGGAGGTCACTCCGTTGCCTGGGGATATCGCTGCAACCATTCGTCAACGGTGAATCGCTGCCCCCTTGCAGCCAGTAGACCTTCGATTTTCGCATTTAGCTCTTGAAGTCATTGTCAGCCAGCGCTTTGAATTCCGTTAGAGGCCCATTTGACCAGTACCTTTCACTGTCATCTCCTTCCGGGCTTGTAGTGAGTAATGATCGCGAAATTCGTGGACAAGAATGAGATCCTCGGGGAGAACCGTTCCTGCATAGTCCAAGTCAATGGAGGAAGAAGTCTTCCCAGAATTTAGAGCAACAAACCAGCCATAATAGCATATACATAAACAGTGTAGCCATCCCGGGGTTTGACAGTGCGAACGAGGTTCTGCTGTGTTCTAGAGTTGGGGCGCATGGAAGCACCATTCGGGACTGAGATCTATATTAGCGAACTGAATGCTTTGGCTCTATCTTCAATTTACATTCATAAGTAGCTGGGTCAAGAGCCTTCGGTTGTACTTTTCCTGCGGTTGTGAGCAGGTCGAACACGCCGTGTGGTCTTCTAGGACCTGGCCAAGCCCGGAGCCGAATGGAGGTGCCCGAGTTTACGCGGAATATATCCTTGGGAATTTGTGTGAAGGATTGGATGAATCTCCTGTGTATTGACATTTTGGCAAGGAGGGGTGTATTCGAGTGATCTAGGTGAAAGTACAAAGTAAAATCTTACCCCTTCGAAGGTCACCCGGAAAGTCACCTGGAAGGCGAGTTGATAATCAATCACACATCACTGCTATGTACTCTGTGTAAATCCCCGAAGTCACTATCGACCCTGATCAAAGAGCTGAGGTACTATAGAGTAAGTATAGAGGATAAGATTACATAGTTGGCCTCACACACGCCTCTCTATATATTCTAAGATATTGATATAGAAGTACAATCATTTTTCAAGTCAATGCCTCTTGATCATTTATGTCTTTTTTTAGACAAGTTTCAAGATAGGTAACCTGTGTTATTATAGGTAGAAGGGTAAAAAGAAAAAGAACAAAAAAAATACAAACTACATGAAATATACAGAATAGATTTGCAGACAATTGAAAATCAGGAAAGTCCTCGACAAATTTGGTGGCGGACACCCCATCTTAGTCACGGTCGCCACCGGATTTTCAGGCACCCACCGGTCTCAATAGGCGTGATAGCCCCGATCCTCGTGATTTCGACATCATTGCCTGACATTTTGGAACACCGCTTTGGCTTCATTCTGCATAGCTGCCTTCACCGACTACTTATATAAAGAGTAGACTCAACCCAAATCACTCGTGACCTTTTTCCTGCTACAAGGTCTGCAAACTTCCGTGATCGTCGCCATGGCGGAGCGTATCCTCATGAATGAATTCAAGGCCCTTCTCAAAGAGAAGTGGGTTCACGTTCAGGTATGTCCATACCTCATTTTTGACATTCCTACACTTGCAGATTACTGACGTACACTTCTGTCCAGTTACACGATGACGACATTTTCAACTGGGATGTCGCCCTGATCGTGATTAACCCGGCTTCCATGTACTACGGCGGCTACTTCAAAGCTTCCATGACATTCCCCTCCAACTACCCCTATTCGCCTCCAAGTATGATATCCTTCTCTCTCCCTTCTCATATCTCAATATGACTGACCAGATTTTTCATTCCCAGAGTTCCGCTTCCTGAAGCCCCTCCACCACCCGAACATTTACAGCAGCGGCAACCTATGCATCTCCATCCTCCATGCGCCCGGTGAAGATGAGATGTCCGGCGAGCTTGCCTCGGAGCGCTGGTCCCCTGCCCAGCGCGTGGAGTCTGTCTTGATCTCCATTCTCTCTTTGCTTGACGATGCCGAGCCTTCCTCCCCCGCGAACGTCGATGCTGCCGTCTTGTTCCGCAAGGACCCAGAAGCTTACCGCCGGCTTGCCAAGGCCGATGTTGAGCAGTCCAAGCTCGATATTCCCGCCGGCTTCGAGATGCCAACACACCATACCCCCGTTCGCGAGCCCGTTGAGAAGGAAGACCATGACTTCTGGGCTGATAGCGATGTCGACAGCGATGTGTTCGGTGGCAGTGACTCTGACGATGAACTCGACATGGGTCAGTCCAGCGGCAGTGATCTAGAGGTGGACGAGGATGAATCGGTTAAAAAGGATTCTACGGAGACGAAGAAGGCATAGGAACTTTCGCCTACTTTCGTCCGGGGAGTTGCTGCATGATCAACGATTTCACGGCTGCTTCTCCGCGCATATTCAGCATTCTCGGCGTACCATTCTGATCTTTCATACGATAGGCGTTTAGCGGGAGCATTTTCGAGCATTATGGGTCTTATGGTTTATGATAACATGCAATACCCTGCTGCAATGTTCCACAGATATTTTAATGAAATGAAATCCAATTCTAACATTTAAAATCGCAAACTTTTAGCCACATCAGCCCTATCATATCATTGGGTTCATTTAGCGGTAAATCATCATCATCGCCGAGCAAAAGTGGACTCTCCCCCACACTATCCCCACCATTGTACCCAAAGTACATAATGTACAGCTCCAGTATCGGACCCCCAACCTATCCCAATATCACAACTATAGCTACCTACCTATTGAACCTAACCATCAACTCACCCATATTACATCACCTCAAAACTCCACCGCAAATCTCTAGATGGTAACCCAAGCCCTCGCCGGGCTGGACAGTCTTTCTATCTTACTCCGATTTCCCAGAAGAAGTAATCCACGCCGCAGTCCGAAGTTTCTACAACATAGCCGGATGCATAGTAGGCGGGAGCGAACACACCGCGACAGCCACAGCCCGCAAAGTCCTATCTTCCTTCTCAGGCCCAACTACCTCCCACCTCCTCGGCACAAACACCTCCAGCGACGCCACACACGCAGCTCTTTTCAATGGCATCGACCCACACGTTCACGAGTACGACGACACACACCTAGACACAATAATCCACCCAACAGGACCCGTAGCCTGCGCACTCCTCGCCATAATCCTGACCCTCTCGCGCTCCGTTTCCGGGCCGGAGTTCATAACCGCGCTGGTCGCTGGTATTGAAGCCGAGTGTAAACTCGGCCTGGCCATCTGGCCGGCTCATTACGATATAGGTTGGCATATCACTTCAACGACGAGATCGATTGGCGCTGCTGTTGCTGTGGCGAAGTTGTTTGCGTTGGACGCTGAACAGGTTGCTTATGCGATTGGTCTTGCTGCTACGCAGGTTACTAGGCTTCGGGAGATGTTCGGGTCGCATGCGAAGTCTTTTCATCCTGGGTGGGCGGCGCAGAATGCGTCGCTTGCTGCTTTGCTTGGGCGGGAGGGGGTTACGACTTCGGTTGAGGCGCTTGAGGCGAAGAGGGGGTGGGCTAATGTTGTTTGTCCTGGGGGGGAATAGGCTTGAGAAAGAGATTGCAGGGCTTGGAGGTGTTGGGCGGTGGGAGATTGTGAGGAATGCTTTGAAGCCGTTTCCTTGTGGGATTGTGGTTCATCCTGTTATTGATGGGTGTGTTTGGTTGCATGGGAAGTTGGAGAGGCTTGGGGTTGATGTTCCGGATGTACATCCGCTGGTTGTGGAGTTAACGGGGAAAACGGAGCCTAGGGATGGGTTAGAGACTAAGTTTAGTGTTTATTATGGTGGCGCTGTTGGTTTGTTGTTAGGGAAGGTTGCGCCGGGGCAGTATGAGGATGATGTTGTACTTGATACGCGGGTTGTGGCATTGGGGGCTCGTTTTAGGGCAGTTGCTGATGGGAGTTTGAGGGCTGATGAGTGTCATCTTGCTGTGAAGATAGATGGAGAAGCTAGCATTGACAAGCATGTCGACTATGATGTAGGTAGATTGGAGCGCCCCATGACAAATGAACAGTTAACAGCAAAATTTGTTGTTCAGTGTATTGGAATCATGGGAGAAGGGGGGACTGACAAGGCGAGTCAGTGGTGTTGGAGCTTGGAAAAACAGGCCGACGTGAGTCAAGTAAAGGTAAGTGCTGTGAAGCATCCATACATGTATCGGATTGACGATAATTTGTACTGGCTAGGGCCCAATTGAACCTATATTACAGTGTGCAATACCGGGAAGATCATTGGTCTGATAAATCACATATTCTAAATCAGTTATGGTTGTAGACGAATATGCTACGTGAAGCGACGAAATAGCAAAATAGCAAAGCCAGTCTGTGTATAGGAGTGTAGTGGCGGGATAAACCCGCGGATTCATGTTTGAGAATCCAAAAAAAGCCGAGATAAAACCAAAGAAAATATGATGTGCGCCGTGTTAATCCATTCATCCATATGCCCGAGTTGTTGGGTTTGTCACTGACAGAACCCTCATAACTCTCTAATCTATGCAGAGACAGCATCCTTGATCTCGCTGTAGATAGCACCGAGCTCCTTGTGGAAGGCCTTCTCGGCGTTATCCATGATGCTGCCAATGCGCTCCTCGACAGTGAGCTCCTTGGCCTTGGAACCAACCTTGTGGCCACCTTCGGCAACAATCTGGGTGTAATTGGAGGAACCACCACCGTTCCAGGCCAGAAGCTAAGATAGAGTCAGCTTAATCCATACTCCTCCAGATAGGGAAAACTTACGTTAGGGGTGTCGGCGGGCATGTCAGAGAGTGCGCCCTGAGTGGCGATGCCGATAAGAGCGGCCTTGAGCTCCTTAGGGGTGACATCGGCGACAGCATAGGCCGAATCCTTGGCGGGTGCCAGGGAGACGTAGTAGGCCAGCAGACCAGCGATGTGAGGAGAGGCCATGGAGGTACCGGAAATGGTGTTGGTGGCATGATCGCTACCGACCCAGGTAGAGAGAATGTTCAGACCGGGAGCGAAGATGTCAGTGCACTTGCCGTAGTTGGAGAAGTAAGCACGCTCATCAGCCAGGGTGGAGGCGCCAACAGTGATAGCCTTCTCAGCGGCAGCGGGGGAGTAGTTGCAGGCGTCAGCGTTGTCATTACCGGCAGCAACAGCGAAGTGAATACCAGCATCAACGGCGGCGTTCACAGCGAGATCCAAGGTGCGGGAGCTTCCACCACCAAGAGACATGTTGGCAACGCTACCCTTGAACTTCTTATCGCCCTTCTTGGACTTCTTGATGTGAGCCTCGGCCGCCCATTCAACGCCCTTGACGACATCGGACATAGTACCCGATCCATTGGAGCGAAGAACCTTGACAGCGTAGACGTTGGCCTTCTTGGCGACACCGAACTTCTTGCCGGCAATAGTACCTGAGCAGTGAGTTCCGTGACCATTTCCATCCTCATCGGCATCACCCTGGGGGATGGTCTGGCCCCAGCTCGCACGGCCCTCGAAGTCAACGTGCTTGACGTTAGTGCCAGTATCAATAACGTAAGCATCGACACCCTCACCACCCTCCTCGGCATACAAATACTTGTTAAAGTTGCCAAAGGAGAGGCTTTCACGGTGAGAGATACGGGCAAGACCCCAAGGGGCGTTCTTCTCAACAGTACCGTCGGTCATCGTACGGACCTCGGAGTCTTTCTCAATGTATTCAACCTGTTTTGGGTCAGATTAGCCGCCGACCTCGGGAACGTCCGCAAGGAGGGAATGAGATTACTCACATCAGGATGACGGCGGACCTGCTCGATGACGTCCTCAGGGAAGTGACCAGCATATCCCATGAGTGATCCAGCAATGTGGAAAGTGTGCTTCAGGCCCATGAAAGCCTCATAGTCGAAATCGAACAGGGAGCGCTTCTTCAACTCCATCCGACCGGCGTGAGCGGTGTGCACCTCCTGCAACCAGCTCTGGTGAGCAAAGGCAGAGCTCTGATCAACATGCTTCTTGAATACAACGATATAGGAATCCGGGATATCTCGGGAGGTCATGGAGGAGAGAATAGGAGCGGCGTCATTGTGGATGGAGCCTACTGCCACGGGCGAAGCAACTGCCAACAACGGGAGCAGTGTTAGGCTAAGGAAGCCTTTCATAATGGGCAAAGTGGAAAATGTAACACGGCAAAAGAATGGTAGATAGGTAAATAATAATTGTAGGATGAGATGGATGAGTGAAGGATAGGTTGGATGGAGAGGAGAAGAAGGAAGATGAGGAGAAGGGCAGCAGGTGAGGCTTATCTAGGGAGGAGACGGGGGATCGATGATGCAAGCGGGATTACATACCGTTACGCTGGCGGATGACCTGTCGATGTCGATCTGGTGGAGAACTGACTGAGAACGGGGTACCCGATACCGTATGGTATCGTCACCGTTGTTTCAGGAACCTTGGAAGTTGGGGAAGATAAAGAGCATCCACAGGGCATGGTATATATTATCATCTGAAGTAAGATCTAGGTTGTTTAGATATCTTCCGGCCACAAATCCGAGATGAAATAGATCACCTATAGTAAGGTGATGCAGATGGTCATCTTCTCCGGGTACCTGGCAAGTCTGCAACTTGTTATAGGCTATAGGCAACCTTCCCTCGCACGGCCCGGTTTCTCCAAGGCAACTCATCGTCCGAAGTCGCGTGCTTTGTGCTCGGGTGACTCAAATGTTGGTCTTGCCCCCTTGTCTTGCATCAGAGTGCCATTATTGGATACAACTCACTCAATCTGCGGAGAAGCCATCACATCATAGGATCACATTCAAGCTTCTCCACATTGCTCACAGCTGCCCCTTATCGCGCTTATCATGTCCTATCAGTGTAACTTACAATCTGACCATTCGAATACAATACAATAACAGGGCTGTGTGTCCAGCCCCAAACTGAGTCACCTGATACCTAACGTTCCCCTCTACCCGATAGCGAATTACAGCGGTGGCTGAATATTAGACATGGGGTTCCGCGGATGACGAGTGCTGCAAATTTCCCTAACCGCCAGGCTTCCTATCTTGGCCCTAGCACTGTCACACACCAATGCAGACCACTGTACCCGCTATTGAACATTCGCGGTCTCTGATGGTCATACGCCATCGGAGCGGACGTGGATAAGATTTGGCTATGGCTCCGCCGGCTCCCCTCCACCCTCCCTCCCCTTCCGGATCGACCGAACGATTGGCTGAAGAGCTAGCCCCAACTATTGACCAGCTCAAGAGTGTCGGTGCAGGCACCGCGATCACTCTGTCACAGGCCCTGTCGACGACCGAATCTCTTCTTCGCCTGCGCCACACCTTCATAGATGATGCACGTCCACGCACCGCCAAGGATGCATTCCGGTATCTCCAGGGCTTTCAAACCCTGCTGAAGCTGGCAGACCAGGTAGCCGAGCTATACGATCCGGCACAACAATCCAAGGAGGAACGAAAAGGCCTACTGGGTATCTTCAAAGATGTCCTCGGTGTATTGGCAGAGGGCCTCAAGGACCATTTTGGCAACAAGCGATATTTTGCTCGGAAGATAGATGGGGGAGGTCTTGCCGCACTGGAACGAATTTTGACCGCGCTGGTCAAGAAGATAGACACGATTAAGTGTGACGCGCAACATCTCTATGGCGCCATTTTGGCTGCAGCTCTATGCCAGGAGACAGTGTCAGGTATTTTTGTAACACTGAGCACTAAGTTTCCCCATGATAAGGAACCCCCGTCTCCGAAAGATGTCCAGCATGCCGTGGATCATTGCATTGGATCAGCGGAGACGGTGGAAGTGCCGGAACTACTTGGTCCATTCCTTCGTGTGTGGTTGATGCACTCCTCTTTTTCATCTGGATATGACATACTACGCTTGGCCTTGCCTGCATGCCTCTGTCAATTGGCCTCGCAATCTCGGAGGAACGTCGTAGCTTTGCATGCCACTGATATGCTCACCTCAATCCTACCCCTCTTATTCGACGGTGGACGATCAGACAGGGAGAAAGAAATTTATCAAGATCTTGCCCAATTTCTCAGCGTCCAGGGAATGAGTAGCTTGGACGATGCTGTCGCCTTATACCGTGGAGCCCATCGAAATCCGCAAGTTCTTAAAGTCTTACTATCTGCCCTCAAATCCTCTAAGGAGCCTCCGTCAATACAGTTCGATATGTCCCGCCATGGATACTGTTCAGTGGAGTTTGCAACACTTGGTCGACCATTCCCCCCCCATCAATTCTTCTGGCTACACTCTTGCAGCCTGGGCCCGTTTCGACGAATTCGATTCCAACACGCACACTACTATCTTTGGAGCATTCGATGCAAGCCAAACATGTTTCATCCTTGCCTACCTCGAAAGGGATACTCGTAACTTTATTCTTCAAACTTCGATTCGAGGTTCCCGGCCCAGTGTTCGATTCAAGTCGGCAAAATTCGAGCCAAATCGCTGGTACCATATTTGCGTTGTTCAAAAGAGACCGAAGCCAATGTCTTCCTCCCGTGCATCTCTTTTCGTAGACGGAGAGTTTGTTGAACAACTGAAGATCGAATACCCATCCGTTCCCATAAGCCATCATTCAAGCAAGTCATCGCGCGTGCAGGCATTTTTTGGTACCCCTCAAGACCTGGCGATGCGTCTCGGAAAAGGCGTGTCCACTTCCCGATGGTCTCTTGCCAATGGAATGCTTTTCGATGAGGCTTACAGCGATGACATGATAGCTGTTTTCTACAACCTTGGACCTCGGTACTATGGGAATTTCCAGGATTGCTTAGGATCCTTCCAGACATACAAGGCCTCTGCGACTCTCAACCTGCGCAATGAACATCTTCACCCTGGTAAAGAGGAAGCCTCAGAAATTGTCACTGCCATCCGCAGACGGGCGAGTACATTGGTTCGCGAAAGCTCGATTTTGATCAATGTCTCCTCTGTCGCCGTTCTTGACGACGATGATAGTAATAATGTGGACGAATCGCAGTTGATAAAATCTCTGTCACGGCAGGCAGCAAAGAGTCTGCACCAGCTAACAAAGTCGGGCGGCAATGCCGTTGCTGTCAATGGCGCCACTCCGGCAATCAATGACGGCTTAACTCAGCCTCAAGGTGTCGGCATTCTGACAGGTGATCCTGTCGTTGCTACACCCAGGGCGATGGATGATGCTAGTTGGTGTGTAGGTGGCTGCGCCGCGGTCCATTTAAGCTTGATCAAGGCGGCTAGCACCGCGGGAAGCACTCGGATGGCTGTGGAGGCTCTATACGAAGCAGTCCAAGACAACTGGAGAAACAGCGAGGCCATGGAAAGAGAGAATGGCTACGGAATTCTTGCCGCCTTATTAAGGGAGAAGCTTGGATTCTGTATGGGTAATTCTCCAACAGCGTTCAAGATCCCCGTGGTTAGCTCTGATCCCCAGGAGCTGGCTTCCCTAATGCTTGACCTGCTACGCTTGACTCTCGGTTTTGTTGGCTACGACTTCGAAAACCCCCAATCGCTCCATCATTACAAATCCGCTCGCCTATCGTGTTCTGCTCGTCGACATGGATGCCTGGCGACTAGGAGAACCTCAGGTGCTTGGGTTGTATTACTCCCAATTCTGCACGTTTGTCGCAAATAGCAACTATCGGCGATTCAACGCCAGGCGTCTTGGTCGTATGCGTAAGTCTACTTCCTGGTGGCACTAATATTCTTATCATTCAAGCTGACCAAAGTAGGTGTCAGCAAGAAGTTACTGGAAACTTTGAAGGGTGGCGAGCTGACCGAAGAATCTCTCCAACCTTGCCTATCGGCATTCCGCTCATTGATGGAAAGCAATCCCACTCCCGACCTTCTTCGATCACTAGCGTTGTCCATCACATATGCACTCCATAAGCCAAAGACTTCAACAAACCTACAGAGAAAGAAGAGCCTTCGGTACTTGGCTGCATCTCCTCGACCTGGATCTGCAAAATCAGAAAGCAAATATCTTCCTAATGTGACTTTAAGCATCGAAATGCTACGGCTGTACACTTCCGTATTGTGTAACCCACATGACCCTACGCCATTGAAGAAATTCGCCAAGGCTGTCACGAACAAGGTATGTGGATGGTCAGTTGCCCTGGAAGAATTTCGTTTAACCATTTCTGCAGTGGCTTCTTTATCTCATGTGCGAAGATGAGCCTGAGATTGTGGTACTCGCAACAAAGATCTTGGCCCGCTTAGTCGTGGTCATTGGCAGTGGATACAGCAAGAAGTTCGCGGAGAAGAGTGGTGGATACATCATTTTAGAACATCGTCTAAAGAGCTGGTGGGATATCCCCGCATTGTGGCCTATCTGCTTTTCTATCCTTTTCGGTGTTGATCATGCTTTGCTCAATGTCGACGAACCATTCCACCCGTACGAGCTTCTGAGAGCTTTATTGGCCGAAGGCGATTTAAAGGTCGTCTTCCCAGATATGCTACCAGTAATTATGAATATGTTAAAGTGCGGTGTGCGCAATCTGACTACAACTAATGCCCAAGAAAACGCTCAAGGCTCTTTGGAAGAGCGTGTCTCCAAACTCGACGCACCGAAAATGAACTCTCTCAGGCTTCCTGGTACGCTCTCACTGCTCATGACTACGGTCTGGCTATTCTCTGACTGACAACGTTTCTCACTGTTAGATGCTACTTCCCCAGACCGGAATATCCATGAGTTTGCTCTTATCAATTCGGTTGTTCGATTTTTAGAAACAGCACGCGCCAGATCACCAAGCTTCCAGGATTTCACCGCACAATCTACTTACGTGCAGGAGCTACTTTCTGTGCTCTATCCTGTTGTTGTTGGTGCTGATACTGTCAGCCCCAACACAGAACTGAACTTCCGGCACAGCGGACTCAGCTTCGATGACAGCAACCTAGTACTACGACCACGCTCGAGTACTAATAATGCATCGACAGCCTTGCAGACCACCATTGTTGACTCCTTGAGCGGCCCCGAGGAAAGCACCGGTTCTTTGAGACGTGGCTCATCCTTTATCTTGGTCTCTCCTGATAAATCCAAGTATCAGCCCTCTTCTGCGCGGATACGGCGGTTCATAAACCCAACTTTTATTGCAAGTAAAGCCGCCACTGATCATCCCATTGTCAAGGTAGTCTTCAGGCTCGTTTTGGCTGTCTTCGAGGATCAGCTTCTAGAGCGCAAAGACTTTTCCGGCCTTGGTCTCTATCTGAAGACCCCACCGGGCTTTCTGGAACACCAGGCGTACTTCAATTCTTGGGTTTTTGGTAGTGTGCTTTCGGCATTGCAAGATATCCCTGTGGTCCGACCAGGTCTGCTTCATGAAACCCGGACACTTACGAACCTCGGGCGCTTTGCGACACATTTGACAGAGGCAGTATACGAAGGCTGGTTTACCAACGGGGCAGCATCCACTCTTGAATTCATTGGTACAATTCTGGAGTATCTCCAGCGCCCGGACATATCTCAATTGAAAAGCATTCGTTTGTGTAGCCAGGCTATCACAACGATTCGCTCGACTTTGTACAAAGTTATCTTATTCCAGTTGTCAGAAGCAGATGATGCCGAAACCGTGACATTGCTAAATCGATTGAATTACTGGCAGGTGGTCCTTCTCTCGGCGGCTGAAACCCAATCAAAAAATTTACATCTGCTATGCTACCTGCTCTACACCAAGCTGGTCAGCACGAATGGTGAAGTTCGCTCAGCTGCTACCCGCTTATGGAGAATCATACTAGTACAGGCGCCGAATGAGGTCACAACACTACTTAGCCATGGATCAGTCTCTCTCCAGCGCCGGTTAGCTGATGGGTTCGATGCTCTTTCGGGAATGGAAGACGAAGCATTCCTGCAATGGATCGATGACCAGCGTGACGATCTGGATGCCCTGTTCTTCGGTGTATTTTCTCGATCATGGGATGTTTTCATCCACGAGGAGAATGCAAGCACCGAGGAGTCCGTCAAGTCTCGAATATCTAAACGTAAAGAGAAACTCAGACAATGGGCTCAGATCGATAAATTTGACGAAGACATGACGCGAAAGCACGAGGCGACTTTGCCGCATTGGATCTCGAACATCGCAGCGTCCGAGTTTTTGAAGTCTCAAAGATTCTTGCAGGATCTTCAGGATAGCTCTACCTTCATGTGGTCAGCTTTCTCCGACTTACTGCTTGACTTGCGACGACCAGGTGGTCTCCTCGCAGAAGAAAAGGAGAGGAGGTGGTGGCTAGACCAGACTGAAGGTCGCAGCCGTATGCGACTACGTCTGGTTCCAGATGAGTCGGGTGATCGACAAGACTATCAGCCCAAGCGTAAGGCCTCCGAGCCCCCGGGAATCAAAATCGACACTCGGATACGTGCACTCTCGGAGGGTGAGACTCTGACAGCGCCTCAACCTCTCACAGGGGAACTGGAGAATGTGGGAAGCGAATCGCCGAACGGCGATGCCGACAACCGGAGTCTTATGGAAGATAACTTTGAGATGATTGACGACCCCAAAATTGAGCTCGAAGACTATGAAGATAGAAACCGGAAGGTGATGCGGTCTCTTCAACGTGGCGATCAAGTTCAAAGCGTGTGTAACCTCTCTCGGATCATTGGTCTAGAAGCAGTGGAGGGTATTTCAATTCTTGGCAAGGACTGCATCTATATCCTTGACAATTTCTTCCAAAGAGCAGATGGCGAGATCGTGAACGTCTGGCAAGCCCCCAATGAGGAACGAGATCCCTATGTGCGCATGATTTCTGGTCGCGAATCAAATGACGCACGTTCGCAGGAGCATGAGACAAGGAGCTGGAAATGGTCTGACTTGGTCAGCGTTTCCAAGCGTCGCTTCCTGTTCCGCGATGTCGCCCTCGAAATATTCTTCACAGATGGCACTAGCTATTTGTTGACATTGCTCTCGGCACGAGCTCGAGACGACCTGTACAACCAACTAGCCATCAAGGCACCACAGGTCACGGGAAGTGCCGGACACTCACGACCAGAAGACATCTGGCGATTTGAAACCCTTCGCAGTCAAGATGATGCACCCCAGTCCCTCGGCTCTAAATTTGCTAGTGTCTTCGGTCACCTTCCAGCGAACCCAGCAACGCGCAAATGGGTCAAGGGTGAAATTTCCAACTTTCATTATCTAATGTTGATCAACACCTTTGCTGGGCGTACCTTCAACGACCTAACTCAGTACCCCGTTTTCCCGTGGGTTCTAGCAGACTACACAAGCGAGGAACTCGACCTGAACAACCCGGCCACATTCCGGGACCTCTCGAAGCCCATGGGTTGCCAAACGCCCGAACGAGAAATGGGTTTCCGTGAGCGATATAATGCTTTTGCGGAAATGGGGGACGACAATTCTCCACCTTTCCATTATGGAACGCATTACTCTTCTGCCATGATTGTCACCTCCTACCTCATCCGTCTGCAACCATTTGTCAAGTCATATCTTTTACTCCAGGGCGGCTCCTTTGATCATGCCGATCGCCTCTTTTATTCAATCCGCAAGACATGGGAGTCGGCATCCCGAGGAAACATGACTGATGTTCGAGAACTTACACCTGAGTTCTTCTATCTTCCGGAATTCCTTGTGAACTCAAACCATTATGATTTTGGCCTTCTCCAAAACATGACCACAGCCATTGACTCGGTTGAGTTGCCACCTTGGGCCAAAGGCGATCCCAAGATCTTCATTGCGAAGCATCGGGAGGCGCTGGAGAGTCCATATGTTTCCGAGAACCTGCATCACTGGATTGATCTTGTCTTTGGCAGCAAGCAAAAGGGCGAGGCGGCTGTCGAGGCCGTCAATGTCTTCCACCACCTCTCATATAAAGGTGCTAAAGACTTAGATGCCATTGATGACCCAATGGAGCGATTAGCCACCATCGGCATTATTCACAACTTTGGACAAACTCCGCATCAAATCTTCCAACGACCTCATCCACAAAGAGAAGATCAACGGCACCGCATACCCCGGCTGGACACTCTCGCAGAATCCCTGACCCAGATGCCTCTGTCTCTGCTCAATATTGAAGAACGAGTAGCCACGCTATCGATGAAGCAAGACCGTTTGCTGTGTACCGCGGCTCTGAGGCTCAATGTGCCGCCAGCTTATGATTATTACATGGAATGGGGATTCTTCGATGGCAGTGTCCGCTTCTATGCCGCCGATACTCGCAAGCTACTGGGCCACTTTGAGCATCTTCATATTGGTCAGTTATCTCATGCCACCTTTGCGGATTCCCGCACCCTAGTCACATGCGGTACGGACTGTACCATCTCATTATGGACCGTCACTGCAACATCCAAGTCTGTTGACTTGCAGCCCATTGGTTCACTATTTGGCCACCGAGCCCCAGTCACTGTCCTTGCCGTCTCTCGCTCGTTCAGCGCTTTATTGTCTGCCTCCAATGATGGACAGATTATGCTATGGGACCTGAATCGGCGATCATTCGTGCGAGCCCTTCCCGCCGATGGTGTAGTCGATGTATGTTTCCCTTTTTCTTATCACCTACTGGTCTTTGCTAACAAAATAGTGTGCTCGAATCAACGATGTTTCTGGGGACATTATGGTTTGTCGCGGCAACCGCTTGACATTATATACCCTCAATGGCGTAGTATTGGTTGACCAACCAGTCTGCGAGTCGAGCGACGATCGCGTCTTGTCCTGCGTCTTCTACGAGGGGGTGCAGAATGAATGGCTGGAGCGTGAACTGGTGTTGACAGGTCATACTCGTGGCGTAGTTAACATCTGGAGCAAGCATATACGCGGTGACCGCTTTGAACTAGAGTTGATCCGACAGCTGCATCATACTGACAGCAGTCGCGACAATGGTGCCAATATCAACGCCGGTATCAGTTGTATCTTGGCTCTCCCCCACGTGGTCTATACCGGGGATGAGACTGGCCGAGTGGTGAGTTTTATTACGTTCATTTTCAAATGACCATGCTAACTTCATGATAGTATGAATGGAACTGCATCCAGCGTCGCTGATTTTCTCGGTGTTCTTTGACCCCCATTTCTCCTTGATCTCACGTTCATAGCCCAAAAGCATATTTACCGAGCATTTTCTAGCCCTCAGCCTTTTCTCTTTTGATTCTACCATGCGGCTCTCGCCGTTCTGAAAGTAGAATTGCGCTCAGTTGTATGGACTTCCCTGTATGATGCTTCGACGGGTGAAGCACAAGTTGGATTGGGTAGAACGTAGGCCCGTACCCCGGTCATGAACATGCTTGAGCCTCTGCCACTGATTGAACGGGTATGGCTAGTGGCCACCCGACGGTCGAGCCCACGAACTAAAGTACGATCCGGTATGAAAACATGTGGCAACCGCACTAATGGATGTTCGATTAATGGAACGGCACAGAATACAACAATGGATGTAGAATCACCTTTCCAACAAGACATACTGTACGCTTGCAGGACACATGTCATTCACATACATGCATTTACCTAGTCGTACGTATAAAAACCTGTTACTACTTTGTATAGTTGGGCAATAGCGTCTGCGCCTTCCTCAAGCCTCCCGAGGTCCCTTCGAAAAATACTAATAAGATCCTTGAACGCCGAGATTCATATTTCTCCATCACTAGCCGTCGATGTCTATTTAACCGGGCCCCCGGTGAGTATTGCAAAGACCGCTGCATTAGTGGGCCGTTGTCCGGTCTACCATCCTCCGGTTGGGGGAAGGCGGAGCACTCTGCGCCGGATTTGGATTGTAGCACAATTGCTCCCGCTGAAGGAGTAGAGATGTGAAATCATATTGAGATTGGAATGTCCATAGAAAGGCGCAAAACAACAGACCTAAGAAATCTAGGAACCTGAAAGCAATGGCGAAAACAGAAGAAGTTCAGTGAAGGGGAAGCTCTGATTTCATCGGCGTCATTTGCCCCACCATCCCACTTGAGAAACGGGGCACTGGCCAGGTACTTCCCTTTATTATGGTAATGCCATACTGAACACAAGTACCCGGCAATTGATTTGGTTCTGGTCTATGACACCACCCCTCCTTCTAAATACCGCGCCGCCCGCCACCCTTCTTCTCTCTTCTTCATACTCTCTCGATCTCACTATCAATTCATAAAAATGTCTTCTTCTCTCGAACAGCTCAAGGCCTCCGGCACCGTTGTCGTTTGCGACTCTGGTAAGCTATCAATCCCGTCGCTATATTGAAAAATCGCTAACTAAATTTCTTAGGTGACTTCGCCAGTATGTATTCCAGATTTTGCACAATGTGACATGCCAGCATTGAATGGCTAGCTAACGTAAACCACAGCTATTGGCAAGTACAAGCCCCAGGATGCCACCACCAACCCCTCTTTGATTCTCGCTGCCTCCAAGAAGCCCGAGTATGCCGCTCTCATCGACACTGCCGTCGCCTACGGCAAGCAGCACGGAAAGACTCTTGATGAGCAGGTTGAGGCCACCCTCGACCGTCTCCTCGTTCAGTTCGGAAAGGAGATTCTTAACATCATCCCTGGCAAGGTCTCCACCGAGGTTGACGCCAAGCTGTCCTTCGATACCGAGGGCTCCGTCAACAAGGCTCTTGAGATCATCAAGGTACGCTCACCAGTTCACTGGGAAAGACTGACCAATTTGAATCTGACCATTTTCACTTTAGCTGTACGCCGACAACGGTATCTCCAAGGACCGTGTCCTGATTAAGATTGCCTCCACCTACGAGGGCATTAAGGCCGCCCACATCCTCCAGTCCCAGCACGGTGTCAACTGCAACCTGACCCTCATGTTCTCTCTGGTCCAGGCCATTGCCGCCGCCGAGGCCGGTGCCTACCTCATCTCTCCCTTCGTTGGCCGCATTCTTGACTGGTACAAGGCTGCCCACAAGCGCGACTACACCCCCCAGGAGGACCCCGGTGTCAAGTCCGTCCAGGACATCTACAACTACTACAAGAAGTTCGGCTACAAGACCATCGTCATGGGTGCCTCTTTCCGTAACGTTGGCGAGATCACCGAGCTTGCCGGTTGTGATTACCTGACCATCTCCCCCAACCTCCTCGAGGACCTCTACAACTCCACCGAGGCTGTTCCCCAGAAGCTCAACCCCGCCGGTGCTTCCAGCCTTGACCTCCAGAAGCGCGAGTACCTCCACAACGAGGCTGAGTTCCGCTTCCAGTTCAACGAGCAGGCTATGGCTGTTGAGAAGCTCCGTGAGGGCATCTCCAAGTTCGCTGCTGATGCCGTTACCCTCAAGGAGCTCCTTGCCAAGAAGATCCAGGCTTAGGTTAGCTTCTGATCTTTTTTTAATTGTTTAATTTTCTTTGTAAATTGGCGATCTCCCAAAAATTGGAATCGGTAGATACGAATTGATGAATTTGTCTCAAACAGTGTCCTTCGGTGTCAGTAGAAACCCGTTTGTAGGTCTAGGTAGGTCCACGGCCCTACTAGGCATTATTGCAATGTATAGGCCTGTGCATTTTGCATGCATTTAGCTTTGGTCCTTAAACTCGGAGTGTAAACATTAATGGTTGAGTTGGGTGAGTGACTAGACTTGGTGAATCACATTATCCAACCTCCCCCAGCCCTCCCTTTCTTTGCGCACCTCCCTCATACACACAGCAACGACCTTGTTTGCACACCTTTTCTATATTCTCTGCTTTCTATGAATGCCCGGCAGCAGTCCTCTGGTGTGTACTGGATCTGGAAAGGAGGCATCTCCTTCGTCTATTGAGGTTCATCCTAGCATCGTGGTCAAGGTCCCAAAATCCGGCGAATTTGAGAGAGAGAGCAATTCCGTAAAGAACTCAAGGTCTATGAGATATTTTCTCAACATCCGCGCTGTCCTTCAATAGCAGACTGTTTCTTCTACAGACAACGGCATTTTCCTCGGGTATATGCGAGGTGTGACCAGTATACGGACTCACAGAGTATATGTTTAATAGTTGTCTACGGAGTACTAACTGCCTTTGATATTAGACGTGTCCCTCTATCCTAGAATATAAAACAACCATACTCGCGATCAGGAAACTTCTACAGTCACCAAAGTAGAGAAACTAGAACCTCTACCCGTACGAAAAGAATGGATGAACGACCTCGCCCATGGTGACCTACGACCCGGAAATGTTCTACTTGATCGTGACCTTTGGAAAGGCGTGGACTTCTTCATATGCTTTCTATGGGGGAGCCAGGGCAACTTGGATTGTCGAGTGGTATTGATATTCTAAGAGCTGAGGACAACGCCTGACTATGAATTAGGACTGAGAAGCAATCCAAGGTGGTCAACAGACAACAAGGTGCTGGAACCATGTCAATCAGAGAAACTCCGCACCAGCTGTGATAGGCAAACATCGTAGACCAAGGCGGTGAGATCAACGCAAATCCCGTGAATCTAGCCGGGTCGGCTTATTCAGGCCCCCGCACGTAATCCATGCTCTTCCAATTGCAGCTATGGTGTCATTACGATCATGTTGCCCGAGGCCATTGCAGTTGAGCATTGGATGTGATACAGTGCAACGGTATATCGGTGAAAATAAGGAGACATTGATATAGTGACAGACGAGGTTTTATGATACACAGGGTGAAAATTGAAGTATTCAGCTGTATGGAATAATTATGTCATTCCCCCTCGTTCCGACTCGCTGCCCACTTGGGAAGGTGGGGGATGTTTTGCTGTGGTATTAAGTACCAGGTACTGGTGGACACAGCTTTTTTTACACTAAAATACATGTACCTAGTACTTTCTCAATAAAAGTTCAGAGTCACGTCAACATCATCCGCTTTATTATCTTCATCCGCCCCCTTCCTCTCCTCTTCTCTCACAATACCCTTCTTCTTTTCAATCAATCTAAAACATCTTAAGATAATCAAAATGGTTAAGGCTGGTAAGTAATTTCCATTGGCCCTCTTCTGGACCATAAGATCTTCAGCTCCAAGTTCCCCATATGTGGCGAAAGGACCTTGGGGTGTGAGCAGATTTGAGCACCTTGTGATCCAGAGCCCAAACCCGAGCCTATCGGCTTGCATCCTCGCCCTAGCTCTCCACTGCTGTCTGGGTGTCTGCCAGTATCTCTGGGACAAATCTGGGGGTCATCGTTGCTCATTTGCCAGAAGTGCGGCATTCTGATCCTGGGCCAGTGCGGCACGAGCCGTTGCTGAGCTCGGAGGACCAGACCCCAGGGGCCTAGAGATGCAGTAGTCGGCATGCCGGACAGTCTTCGATAAACCTTCTAGAACAATTCATTGACCACTTTCCTCTCCTTGCAGTTGCTGTTCTCCGTGGTGACGCTAAGGTCGCCGGCACCGTGACCTTCGAGCAGGCCAACGAGAGCGCCCCCACCACCATCTCCTGGAACATCACCGGCCACGACGCCAACGCTGAGCGTGCTTTCCACGTTCACCAGTTCGGTGACAACACCAACGGCTGCACCTCCGCTGGCCCTCACTGTATGTTCATGATGAGCGAAACACCAAGAGGATCGAATACTGACTGCTTCTAGTCAACCCCTTCGGCAAGACCCACGGTGCTCCCACTGACACCGAGCGTCACGTCGGTGACCTTGGCAACTTCAAGACCGATGCCGAGGGTAACGCCAACGGCTCCAAGCAGGATAACCTCATCAAGCTGATTGGTGCCGAGTCCGTTCTGGGCGTGAGTTTATGAATGATATCAGGCATGGCTGAAACAGACTGCTAACCTATCTGCTTAGCGCACTCTTGTCGTCCACGCCGGTACTGATGACCTTGGCAAGGGTGGTAACGAGGAGTCCAAGAAGACCGGTAACGCCGGTGCTCGCCCTGCTTGCGGTAAGTTCATAAAGGCGTGATAGATTGGAGATGAGAACTAATGAGATATGGTAGGTGTCATTGGTATTGCCGCATAAATATGCAGCTATATCCCCTTTTGAAACCTGGATTTTGATATCCCCGTAATTGGTGGATCAAAAAAATGCTGGATACTCCGTCTAGGATACATGAATGAATGCCAATTTGACTTGTGCATATTTGGATATATATGTCGTGATCGAAGCTGTTCGATGATCGATGCATTGTAGACTTCCGTAGAAGCTCGGATGGGCTGACCGCTTTCCCCCACAAGTCTAAACACCGGCCACGTTTCCCCTCAGGACAATCCCCTTGCTCTCATCTTCTCTTTCTCTTCCTTGTGTTTTTATTCTGGTTTTGTCTTCAATCTTATCACAATTGTGTGGTAGTGGAGACTTGTTTCATTCAGTATGCCTTTCGAAGCCCGGGTCAAGTCCGTCCTGTCCGGTGACACGGTCGTGCTGTCGCATATCACCAACCCTTCACAAGAACGTATCCTGAGTTTGGCTTATGTCTCTGCTCCAAGATTAAGGAGAGAGGGCGATGAGGTAGGTGCATTGTTGAGATTGATCCCCCGATTGCACAGTTGAAAGACCAGATTGCTGCTTGTTGTGATCTCCAATTGGTGGTCTTTCTGGTCCTTAGGAGCTACGTACAGCACTCAATCAAAGAGCCATGATCAAAGGAGCAGATAGAAAACCAGACAAAACTAACGTGAAGATTCAATTATAGCCATACGCCTTCCAATCCCGCGAATTCCTCCGTGAGCTCCTTGTCGGCAAAGTTGTCCAATTCCACGTTCTCTACACCATCCCCACCGGTGCCAAGCGCGATTATGGAATCATCAAGCTGCCCGGCTTCGACGCCTCATTGCCCGATATCAGTGTGCAAGAGGGCTGGACTCGAGTCCGCGAAGAAGCAGGCAAACGCGGAGATGAATCTGAGGAGACCGCTACACTCCTGCAGCGCCTGCGGGC